ATAAAATTATTCTTTACAAATATTATTTTGAAGTCAAAAAAATAAAAATTATTAATAATATTAATTAAGAAGATTTTCTTTCAATCTGGATGAATATGTACATTTTTTTCGTCAACTTTTCTTAATAAAATTTTAAACCATTGATATTACTTACTTATTTATATAAAGCAATGATAAAATGACTGATTGAAATAAGCAAAGCATAACTATAAAAAATGTTTGTCCACCAGGAAACCAGGATTTCAGCAGTGTGTGTACATTTTTTGTGCATTGCTCTGTTGTAATCAAATAGTTTACGGAAAAGACGTGAAGACTTGCTAACACTTCTGATCTCCTGAAAAACGGCATATATTTTTCGTGTACCAGGAGAACATAATTAGAAAGCCTGCGTTTGCAAGCGACGCTACGAATTGCCGAGCAAGGAAACGCACCTCTTCGCATTCCTAGTTTCCTGAAAAACTACAAATTGTTTTTCAGTGACAGGATTCTAGGATTTACTTATTTATACTTCTTCTCATTTAAATGCAAACATAATCAACTTATACAATTATAGAAATGATATATTTCGAAAATATTTATAGATTTATTAATAATAATGCGCAACTTTTGCGAATAGTAAATAGTAAATTACGATTTTGCTCCTCGAAGAGTTCGTCGGTGCGGTGATAGAGATTCACGATTTTTATTCAAAGACAACAGGCTTTTCTTCTATATCATTATCTAAAAAATAAAATGCGTTAAATTTATATAAAACTTAATAATCAGCAAATTACTTTCACCGTTCTTGTCTGCATCATCCAATTCTTGATGCTCCTCAACGTCTTCTTCCTTTTGTTTCTTTAGTATTCCTCTATCTTTTATTGGCTTCTCTTCATCTAAAGTAAAATTGATATTTCATGAGATATGCGTAAGAAGAGAGCTTGGACGCTCTTCTAATACCTTTTTCCACCTTCAAAATTCGCAAAATTCGTCTCACAGTTCTTTCAGAAATCCGAAGAGCTAACGCATGTTTCCGTGCTGAACGCGTTGGAAACAGCTTAATCGAAGCCCTCACTGCAGCGATGTTTTCGGGTGTCCTCACATTTTTGGGTCGTCCGGGTGGTTTTCTCTTCAGTGCAGATCCTGTTTCCCTTACTCTTTGAACCCACAGCAAAATCGTTTTCCGGTCTGGAACACTTTCATTAGCGCGTAAACCAAATCGTGTGCGAAACGCCCTCTGAGTCGCAGTTACAGATTCGCCATTCTTGTAAAAAGCCTCCACTACAAATCCTCGATGCTCACCCGACCAAGGCATTATGACCAGGGGATTAATTCTTGAATAAGCAAAAATACATCATATTGAGGTTATGTAGCTTTGTTTTGGTATAAGTTTCCTCGACAGATTTCGTAATGTGAGTTATTTCTACCTCGTACCATTTTTTTTTTAAATGTGGGAGTTATTTCTGACGCACCCTATATAAGTACATCCATTACAAAAATAATTACATCACAATTAAATAGGAAAATAAAATGAACATTCCTGTTTTGATACCTCTTTTCATTCATAATTGCTTGTAAGACTGGAAACGTGATTTTTCTACCAGGACAATATGAAGTCAGTAAAGCGTTTTCAATATAATTTACTCCTCCTGGTGGATGTTAACAGATATTTTAAATTTTGTTAATCTTTAAGGAATTTCTTTGTTTAAACGAAATTATTAACAATACTATTTTAATAATGAATCTTGTTCTTAGGAAATATTCTTAAAACATAATATGCTTTTATATCAAAATTAAAATTGTTGTAATTTTCTTTTAAATATTATTTATTTGGTTTCGAAATGTATAAATAATATTGAAATGATCGTTTAATATAATATTTGTATAATTTAATACATTTAAAGCTATTTCATAATTAGTACTAACGAGAAAACATGATATTACGCTAAAATGTTGTTTTTTTTTTTGAGAATAGTAAAGAGTCGTGTAAAATAAAATGTGTCCATATATTCTGTTATAATTAAGGTTTTGCTTATTGGTACATACATATAAATACATTTGCTTTAAATAACTTTTGATAACATTAAGTAAAATCTCGAATCTACTTTTTTTTTCGTAGTATTAATATTATTTCTGGATTCATAATAAGATTAAAAAGTCTTGAAAAGATCTAGATTATGCGAAATTTCTGTTCGCCATGAGAACGACGCGCTCCTCGAAAAGCTCGTCGGTGCGGTGATAAAGAGATTCACGAATTTTATTGAAAGAGAACAGTTTTTCAACGGGAACTGACGAAGCCAAAGGAGTGTTGAACTTAATGAAGACCCTTTTCACGTTCGGGTAGTCGTTCAGCATGGCCAGATCCCTACGGTTATCGCTCAAATACCTGAGCACCTCAATCTCAGCTTGAGGATGCTCTGTAAAAGATACATCCTCGATGTCAGGACCGAAATCGAAGTCGTGACCTTCGGGTAGTTCAGCTGCTTCTGGCTCATGTACCTTTTGATATCCGGTTATCACTGCTTGGATAAACAAATCTCGCAGCCTCTGCCGATCGGCGGTTTTAATGGCCGCAAACCATCGCGTCTTGAAGACTGGATGTGACAAGCTTGCGATGACCGCGCCATGCGAATTCGGCCCTAACCCAAGCAATTCACCGAAACGCTCCTCCAATCCATCGGCGATAGCCTTCAGGACTGGATGAGAAAACCTATGCACTTGATCCATCAATTTACGTACTTTATAGCGCAGCTCTAGAAGACATGGCAATAAAAATCCGTAGTAATTGTTCCTCTCGCTCTGTAACTTATCCAAAGCTGAGGTTAATGGTTCCATACATTTGACGTGCTCCTGCAAATACGCTACATCTTTCTCGGTGAACGGAAGGTACTCGTTCAAACCAATATTGTTCAGCAACCAAAGCTTGTCTTTAACTTTTAAGATCTGTGCGAGCGCGCTGTGTATCGAGCTCCATTTACGAGCATCCGGGAGAATCAATGTAGTTTCGAGCGTCTTCAAGATTACGTCGAAGGATTTTGGTTGCGAGACGGCCATCCAAAGGGCTGAACATTTACGCAACGCTTCATTGTGAGTACTTTGGAAAGTGCTGCTTTGTATGGCTTTAACTACATCGACTGTAGCCAACAAACATAGCGTATGAGAACGCAGATGGGTGGGTTGACATCGTTCGTCCAATTCCAAACCGGCAGCAGGAAGATTTTCGAATATAAGATCGTCGTCGTGACCGACCAAAGAATGCGTGTATCCGTACTCGTTGAAGTCCTTGGCAAAGTTGATGCCATTATCGGTGACTATTGTTAGAATCTTCGATGAGTTTAAGTTGAAGTCTGTATTGATTTCTGCCAGCATGTGAGAGATTTTGTTGTAAGACTGTGCCTTTGGGAAGCGGCGACATGCCATTGCCGCTGATTTCCTCTCCAAACTGTTAACATCGATCCAATGGACGCTGGCATTCACGAACCTCGAAAGACTCGTGGACCATACGTCGACGGTAGTGCAAACGAATTGCGCATCCTGCAAAGCCCTCTCCACCTTCTGGGTATTTTCACTGTGCAAATCTAAGATCCTTTTGCTCAACGCTCTATGGCTGAACACCTTCTCGATGGATACGCAGGTGCAAATATGATCCACGATCGCTCTAAAGTACTCGCTGTTCAGAGTCTTCAATGGCACCAGTGTGTTCACAGCGTAATCCATAAGCAATTTTTCTAATTGTTCTTGCGTGAATGAACATTTACACCTCTTCCTCGATTTTTCCCCTTCGCCAATCGGATGGATAGGAATGTTTCTCTCCTTATTGTAGCGGCGTCTATGCTTCTCCAATTTGGAAAGCTCAATGCAACCATGGATGCGTTTGATATGAGATATAAAATTGTTGCTCGAGTGATAAGTACCTTTCACCTCCGTCCTGCTGTCAGTACATCTCTTGCAAATAGCAACAATAGTGCCATCATTTTGATTGCATTTATCCGGCACCACCTCGAAGAAGGTGCCGTCTAATATGGCTTTACAGGAATTCGCAATCCTGAATGGTTCAGTCTGCGGTACAGCGTTATCCACGATTGTATGGACTTCGCGGCTCGTCCCCGGTCGAGGATGCTCCAAAACTAAATCTGTGTTTTCTGAAACAAAGATTTCAATCCAATTAATAAAACCTCAATTACACTTAACGTACCTTTATCACTTTCGTCAAGATCTACATTATGGATTTGATTTTCATCTGAAATGAATTCATTTACAAAATGATTTCCATCTCGTGCATTTGAAGCATCTTCCGCATCATCATCCACTGTCATAGTATAATCTTGGTCCAAATTTTCTGGCATTATCTTCGGTTTCACATTCTGCACATCCCCATTCTCGTTATACTCGTCCACCTTCGCGATTTCATCCAGTTCCAACTCTACAATGAACTCCTGTGGATCCAGCTTCAAAAGATCCTCCTGAATATATAGATAATAAAAATGTAAATATTTTATACAATATAAATATTTAATTGATAATAATATATAATAATTTAAAAATAATACTTGCATCAACTTTTTCTACTTTAATGAGATTCATTTCTGCATTTGGCTCCTCCTTTGAGCAAATCCTTTTATTAACATTGACCACTTCCTTAATTTCTTCTTCATCCTAAATGTAATAGAAAGAATTAGTATTGTTAAACCCATTAATTCAATAAATCTATACAATTAAAGATTTAACTTAAACATGATACATAATTATCAACAATTGTTTATCAACAATCCATACATGTTTTGTGTTGCATCAAACATTATTAGTAAGCACTCATTTTGTAAAATAATATCTATTGAAATGATTACAAAATTAATTAATGGACATCAGAACTACATAAAGTGTTTTATTACTATATAAAATTTAAGCATAAACATAAAAATGTAAAAATATTATAAATTATAGATGAATTCTACATATAATAATAACTATGACATTTATATTTAATGATTGAATACTTTTTTATTTACATAAAAATCAACACAATAATACTCTGAAAGTCAATATCAAGAATATAATCCTTGCCATCATATAATAAAAGTTACACAATATTACATTGCAATTACACCAGCTGTGCAACAAAAGGGTGTTAACTGCAAACACTCTTAAGATCTAAATCTTACTCTTGGTGTGAACAACAAGTGTATTCTGTTATTTGATAACAATGTACAATTTGCTTTTCCTGACTAAACTCACAATCTCTAAACTTTGTTTAAAGTCTGAAGAAACTGAATGATTTACCTTAATCTCAAGCGATTTCCTTTTGGAAGGCATGTCCTCAGCTTCTCGCAGCGAATTCGTACTTGCTAATTCAGATCAATTCACTGATCGAATGATATGTAAACAATCGAATAACAAATAGTTGACCACTTACGTCCCACTCACATATCAATAATAATGATATGCTTGGAGAACTGTCAAAGACGCATATTCAGCAGGTGATTCAACATAACTAACTGAAAAACCACCAGATTTGAACGATTTCATAACAAAGAAATTCAAATTTTTCTTATTTTATAACGGAAATTATTCTGTAAATTGTGATTAACAGCGCTACAGCTTTCCATGCATTATTTAATATTTAATATGTAACAAAATTGTCTTATAGATTTTGTTTGGTGAGTATTTAAACATCGTTGTTTTTGAGAAAATAAACAAACAGTTGCTTAACCTATGAAGCAAATTACGTAAAATATTCTATTCTATTTCAATGAGCGTGTGCACATACTGAAATGACATTGTTGCTGTTAATATAAATTGCAAGAATTAATAACAAAATGTATTTGCTAAAATTACATATTTTGTAATTTATTGACTCATTTTGACTCATTGAAATACTAATGTTGCAGATGGCGACACTGATTACACTGACGTAGGTCAGGCAATATCAATTTTTAACTGAATTTTGAAGTAAAAACATCTTTGAATTTTGTGACAAGAACTGTATTTTTTTTTTATCCTTTGGTTAGTTGATCAGCAGCAAGAGAAATTCTACGCTGGAGGAAATATCCATTAAATTGCAAAGATGAGCGGGGCAAAGTTGTTGCAGTTGCACGATGGCCAGGAGATAATTTTAAAGGATAACGTTGAGTTTACTGATGTTGTAACCTATAAATTGTATGTTTATTTACTTGTTCTTCTTTAGTTCACCATCGGAAGGTCATTATCAAATTCGTATGTTATAGAAGAATTGCCAATATCAAGGGTGCACTGTATTTTTAAGAAGGATAGCAATAATAAATGGTCAATTATTGACAAGGTATTATTTTCATTGTGTGCAGGGATGATTTATCTTATTTGCTTGGTCTTTCACAGAGTTCGAATGGCACGATACAGAATAACAGGAAGTTGAAAAAGAATGAACCATCAGATCTTTTTGTTGGTGACATATTAATTATAACAGAGAACATTAGATTTGAGTTTTTAATGCATAACAGCAATGACAGCACTCTTATGGTAGCAGGTAAGTGAAGGAGGCATGTTTGTGTTTAGTTAGTAGTATAGTGAATGCATTGTAGATCAAAGTGAGATGGAAGTTATTAATTTAGTAGACTCGTTTAATACAACACACAGTTCATCGAAAACAAAAAAACCCAAAGGTAGACCTCCTCTGAACAAACAGCCAACCCTAATGGTACCAATGGTTAAAGAGATTGATAAAAATGAGTTAAACAAGCCAGGCCCTTCGCAGACTGTCATTGATTTTGAAGAGGAATTGGCCTGCAGCATCTGCACAGAGCTTCTGGTAAAAGCTGTTACCCTGAACTGTCAGCACACTTTCTGCTCATACTGCATATCACTGTGGAGGAAAAACAAGAATTTATGTCCAATTTGTAAGACGAAGATTAAAGAGCATGTTCCTACTTTATTAATTAATAATTTAGTTGAAAAGGTGAGTTTATTTGTAATGATTGATCGAGAAACGGAATTATTATTATATACGTTTCGATTTAGGTTGTGGAAAATCTTCCGCTCGAGGAAAGGAAACGACGTGAAACTATAATCAAGCAGCGCGAAGTTGTGGAAAAGCCGAAACCAAAGAAGAAGGCGAGGAAAAATGCCACGAGTAACGGCAATCGAAGGTCTAGACGCTTGCCCAGGGATTCCATGCCAATCGAGATCAGCTCCGACGATTCTGCCAATTTTCAGGAACTGTTTAGCGACGACGATATCGACTTGCTGGAGGTGGATCATTATTACGGTGGGTACGGGATATGTTTTATATGCCACAATCCTGGCCATTGGGCGAACGGTTGTCCATCACGCTATCTTTGTACGTGAAACATTTGCATTATGCAAAACACTAATCATCCATTAATTATTTTGTGTTGTAGGATTCGAATTCTAATGGTGTCATCATGTTATTTTATTCAAAAATTTATATTTAGTTCTATTTATATTATAAGATTTCAAATATTAATAATAGTTCAGTTTGTTTCTTCATATCTGTTCTCATGTACAATAATTACGTTGCTGCTCTTGTTACTATTTATATATTTGAAAACAACAGATTATTTCGTTTCATTTTCACTGATTAGTAAAATTATCACAATAAACGTTTACATTCACCTATTCCATTTATTTTTTCTAATACGTGATTACTTCAAATAATCTTATTATTTATTGCAGAGAGATCATCAATCATATATTTCAATTGTTGAATTACAAGCGAAAATGTACATAAAAGTACATATAATCATTTAAATAAATTAATCTGCAGTTAAAATATTTTCTATTATTTCTACTAACTTTTGAGTCATTTGAAATTCATTTAAGATACTTAGCATATTATGAATTAACGCTAACATTTATTTCAGATATACGCGTGTAACAAGTAGAGCAATAATGTATACAATCAATGATGTAATTGTTGAATTCCTAATGAAAGTACAAATATTTTTTTATAAATTTGAAATAAATAAGAAGTGACAAATATTATTTTCATCCTCTAATTTCTATTTACTAGAACATTTCACAATTTCCTTCGATTTAATGAAATTAACGAATTCAAACAAATTATCAGAGCGAAATATTTTTTATAGATTTCATTACCCTAAGTTAGTTTTTTTTTTCTATCGGCGTCAAGATGTCGTTGCAGTCAAATAGATGTATTTAAAGTTTTAAACTTATTACACACTTCATAATACAACGGAACCTCGCATAACGAGCATTTTGCTTAACGAGCAATTGTAAGAAAAATGACTCGCTTAACGAGCGACGTTTCGCATAACGAGTGACGATGAGAAGAGAAGTCCCGGATTGTGCGCCTGCTACATCATTTTTACACATATTATGTGTATTTTTGAATATGTTTCACTATACGAGTATTTCACTATATAACGTTTCGAATTATTTAAAATAATTACAATAATAATAACATTTATTACAACAAATCACCATACTACAAACTCAAGTAAAGGGAACATTTACATTACAATTAACAATGTTTAAAGAAATTATTAACTTTTATACTGTTAATCTCTCTATAAAACATTCAAATTATATAAACTAATCAAATTATTTAACCCAAATTTCAAAGTTTATGAGCTTACTATTTTTTTTAACTTAATGTCTTACATTCATTCATTGCACCTGAATGTAATAGTAAAAATTGAATTTACTGACACCAAAAAAAGATTGACAATTGTGCATTTATTAAGACATCATTACCTAATAATAAATATTGAATTCAGTATTAAAGGTACCATAGACTAAGATTTCTCATCAATCATTTCGACGACTATATCTATATAGGAAGGTGGATGAATGGGCGGATTTCTCTCGAGTATGTCTACAGGTCACATTTTATAACTAGCAGATGTTCAACCTGAATTAGCTCAAAGCGCAGGACACATTTTCAGTACCTGGAATTTTCGAAAACCTAGTATAAATAAAATGAAATAATTAACATAAACAATATAAAATATATATTGGAAAATTAAAAAAAAAATTAAGAATGATAAAAGTTAGATTTTTCAAAAATATTAATTAATTGCAATAAATTTGAAATTAGTTAGTTAAATAAATTTAATAATTAAGTCTTAAGAAAAAGCAAATATTAAATAATAGCAACAAATTATAAACATTGTTTTTATATTAAAGTCTAAGGGTAACAAAATTGAAATTAAATTTGTTAAATAATTATAACAACGTGGAATTATTATAATGATTGTTTTTATGTGTTTAATTTTAAAACTAGCAGATGCACGTTACTCGTGAAACCGGAAATGGCTTGAATTGCAAAGGCGCATCTTCAATTCCGTGCCATTTCCGAGGGTAAAAAAGAAACAACAAAAAAAATCCGTTGTTCTTCTGCAGAAGTGTAGCGACGAGAGCAGGTGTTGTTTAAAGGGACAGAAAACCGTTGAACAATCATGCAATTAGAGCTTTTTTTTATATTTTTTACCATTCTTCATTTGAGACGATTGCCATCTCCAAACGATTGTCATTCTTAGAAGAAATGGTCATTCGGAAATGGTTCTATTACGATTATTTTCGTATTGTTTTATATCTTTTTTTGGCGCCCGTTCGCGCAACTGGCGGCAGGCCCTTCGGAACTTGTCGAGTGCAGCTGCCGCACGCGTTTTCCAGCTGTTAAGGGACTGGGGACTCGGAACAGCTGTACGCACATAAAGAATAACTTCCAGTTTTCTGGCCACGCTCCCCAAACCGCAGAGGCCGGCTCCCTATTTCGACGTTACAGCAGCCAACGACGATCATCATTCGTCCTCGCGCCACCACCTAAGACGGAATCAGTTCTTCCCCCTTCAAGGATTACGCGCGCAAGTTGAACAAGGATACGCATCCAGTCAACGTCTTAGTATGAAACGCAACAACAATAACAACGCTAAGCAGAAACATGATAAGCCGCAGTCGTCGGAGGTGCCGAAAGTCGCTAACAGAAATAGACGTGTATGTACAAATATTTTTTTTTTAATTTTATACATTTAGAATAACACTTCCTTTTATCCTTTTTTAAACTTCTCATCCGCTTCAGGTATTCTTCACGCATTATGGATTATCTACAAACAAATTTCTGAAACGATATTCTTCAAATAGTAATTTTATGAAAAAGACCGTTAAAGTAACATTAACTACCCTAAATACCAGATAAATAAAACTTTCAATACATTTAGAAACAACAAACAATACATTTGAAATATAAACCGAAAACAATCCTTGATAGCTTTTATTTGTGTATTTCGATTTTATCTATTTAATACACAATGAATCAATTGGATATTCCACGTACTTTGACCGTTACATTAATTTATCCATTTACTAAATATTCGTTAAATTTTGAAAAGTTCTCTTCTCTATAAGTTTCCTTTCATTTGATTTAATAAATAACACTCTTTCCATAGCTCTTCAATGTTTTATGCAATACACAACTATTTCAAGTGAAATTTTATAGAAATGTGGAGCCCTTTAACTGAAAACTTATTTACTAACAAAATTTTACTATATTTGTATAAAATGATCAATTTTTAAATATACTATTGGCAATAACTAATTTCTATTTTTCCACAAATTATCAAGGAAATAAATCATGGTTTTATAGTAAAAGTATTAATTAATTTAATTTAAATGTAATTGGATTAATTTAAATTAAAATTTAAATATTATCTTGATATTATTAGAAAACTAGTGATTATTAATGGTGAGAAAACTAACGTTTTTGAAGAATAAAACTCTAAGATTTTGTGATGATTGTGAAATTGATTGATTGAGAAATTGTTTTACTGAATGTTACTGCAGGGGAAACAGAAGAGCGGACAGAAAATGAACGAGGCGCTGATGATGTGCTTCGAGAAGATATGCGAGCTGCAGAAGGAATTGGAAGGAGACATCACCGAGGAGGATTACGATGATGCTCAGGTCGCGGGATACGCCGCTTGCGCCTTGGAAACGATGTCATTCCTGAGAGCCGAAGGAATGTCCGAGGAGGATCCGATCATGAAGGTGCTGAAGGAGAAGCTCCTCAGTAACTGACGAAACGATAATACCAAAAAAATAAACGCTTAATCTAGTCATTGGAAAGAAAGCTCTAGTCAAATCGAGAGAGAAAAAAAAAATATATTGACAAATATAATATATATATATTTATTTATTTATATAGTAACTTCTTATACATTCTAAACTATTATTGTTTCTAGGACTAGCACAATGTAATTATTGCAAAATAAAAAATGTGTTTGTATAAATTTATATGTAATATCTTCGTGGATGAAGTTCGGTTCTACTTCTGCGTAGGTTTGTGTCGTAGATCTGCGCCTTGGTAGGACATCCGGATGAGCCTTCTGATCTCCTCGACGGGGATGGTTTTCAGGTCGACTCCTTTCAGCAGCTTCTTCAGCTCGACGTGGGCCAGAGTGTTGGGAGCTGGTGCATCCATCGATTCGACGCCGCCGGACAGGGTCATTGTTGCGTAATTTGCGGTCGGTACGGGAATGGGGGCTGCTTTCTCTACTCTACTTTTCGATGGGGTGAAGAGTATGTGAGAGAGAGAGGGATAACGACGGTTAGGCTGTGGATACTGTAATGGGCGTGCGATATGATGATGGTATGACCGAACGACATCTGGTCCGCTCGAAATGCAGCGTGCTGCGCAAATGCTTGTGCTACCAATGTTATCTGAAGTGTTCTGTGCGTTCGGTTAGCGTTGGGGCTCAACAAACACACACACGCACGCACACATATTCACAAATTTAATTAAAGCCCTCTGCGCGATCGATCGTCACCACCCAGCTGATCCTTTGCTTATGTTTGGAACGCGTGACTCATCGTTGTACTGTAACTGGGGGTGTTTTTGCTTGGATCTCAAAGGGTCACAACACTCATTCAATCAACAACTATCGTTCTATAACCAACCCTTATATTTCTTCAATTGAGGATATACTTCAATAACAAACAAAGAACATAAAATCTCTAGTCAATTTTATTTATGATTTGATTCATAAGAATTATTTTAGAAAACATTGATTTTAATTTATATTTTTGAACCTTTTAACATTTCTATAATTAATAACAAATTATAGATTTTCGGTAATTATATAATCATCTAAAGTTTTCTTTAACACTTTAGATGATTTTAATAAAACAAACACTTTCTTTTAGTTATATTTTGACCCCAAGACTTCTGTAATTGTATAGAAATACAATTATGAATCCACTTACCAGCAAATGATACTTTAATAATTAATTGGTTTGTTCTGAACCAGAATAATCACAATCAAATTCTTCACTTTCATTTCTACACGTTAAAATTACAATAAATAAATATTTTACTGTGTCTATTAGTTATAGGAATTATGATTATGTGTGATAATAACTTCTACTACAAACAGATGCGATTAACGTGAATCATTATATTATTCACATTATATGATAATATTGTTTTGCATCTACATCTGAAAACATTCATTACGTGAATCAACATTACAAATCTAGTTCTTCACTCATTACATAAGTCACATATAAATAAAATAGAACATTCTTATATAATCAAAGCTCTGCTCTTCACTAAATGTTGTCTGAGGTTTATTTTCAATATGAATTAGAGAAAAATATTCAACATTTACATTACATTTTCTATCATGCTTTGGCTAGATTTGAGGATTTCCGGTTTTACTCGTTTTATCACATGTCTGATGAATTCGTTATCGGAGCAACTCCATGCCTGAATTAATAGATTTAGTTTAGCAGCAATAATGTACTGAATCCCTGACGCAAATTCAAGGATAAAACAATTAAAATTATTAAACGTTACAAATTGATTGTTTATTTCTATTAACTTATCTTTCGAATCAGTGGTTCCCAATCATATTCCAGAAAAAATATTGCTCAGCGCTTCCTGGAAATTATTATTTTTTTAAATTTTAATAACACTTACAGTTATTCATCGCCACCAAAAGCACCTGTGACCATCACCTGGATCGCTGCAGCGCCCACTTTGGAAATCACTGCTCTAAATAATCTCTCAACGCTAATAATTAAGATCCATTTTGATATAAAGCTATAGAATTTTCTTCAAAGAAGTTATGAAATTATTCCAACTTCCTTGTTTCATTCTCTCTGCTGATAATTGAAATCTAATCCTATATTTTTTAAAACCTGATATAATAACTATATTAATAAAAATTCAATAAATCATTAAAATTTAACGTTATTAATATATTTGATTAAAATTCTGCAAATATTGTTTATCTAATCATGACAGTTTGAAAGTGATATTACGCAATTCACTTAATGCCTATAGTATCGTAGATTACTGTTTTCTGTAGCAAAATTCCATAAATTTCTTTGAGGTAAAAAGATATTTTAATTTAGATTAATTTCGAAAATTATTCATTGAACCTGAGCTGAAATTTTGATTATACTATATTATATAAAATAACTAGTCAAAATTTCATCAAAAACTGTAAATTTCTCATAATAAACGACACTTTAAAAGATATTTGTGATGCAAATTTTGTATATAAATCTTTCTATGTTTGCTTTGTAAATGAATAGTTTCCTTGAAACTAAAACACTGCCTTGTTCAATTGAAGAGTTTAAGCAATTCCCTTTATAGAATCTAGTACAGATTTGTATAGAAATCAGATATTACTTGTATTTACTGAAATTGAAACTAATTGTCCAGTATAGATTAGTTTCCTTGAAACTAAAACACTGCCTTGTTGAAAGCTTTGTTCAATTGAAGAGTTTAAGCAATTCCCTTTATAGAATCTAGTACAGATTTGTATAGATATTTTACTTGTATTTACTGAAATTGAAACTAATTGTCCAGTATAGATTTCTTTTATTGACTTTTACTTTTGCCTACTACTTTTTTCTAGTAAATATTGTTTTGGGATATTTCTATAAAAGAACTAGCGAATAGTAAAATATAAATTTATTATTATGTAAATGTATATAATATTTTACTAAGACTGTTGTGTATATATTACAAAATGTCTGTCTGGTAGAAATGATTTTTGTTTACAATTTGGTTTGCAGAAATATTGCTCGAAACATCACAAACACACTTAACAATATTACAAACTAGAAACAAAAGAAGTAAAACAAAATTCTAACAATGTATATTTGTATATAAAATTAAATCACACGTATCAATATTTTATGTCATCATTCTGTGTCTCTCGTCTTAATGTCTATACTTAATGTTAAAAGATAAATTACGCCTCAATCAACAAACAAATTATAATAGTAAGAACATAAAAAATATAATGCAAGTGAAAAAATAATAATTAAATTCAATTGCGGAGATCAAAAAAAAATATATATATAACATGCATGGTATCTGTTAAAAAAGTAATGTAACTAAATTATATAAATGAATTTTGTTAAATTATAGATTTAAAATTTAAAAAAAAATTGCAAACATTGAGATTCCGTTTTTTTTTTCTGGATTGTAGATAAATTCTGCTTTAGACGTTATTGACTAGCAACAAGCAAATGTTAACTATCCTAACATTGCGCTGTGAATTTTTGGATGATAGTTTGCACGCTCAGTTCTGTGGTCGGAATCTTTGGGACAACCATGTCCTTCCTCCTGTCCTTCCAGTCCTTTATTACGTCGGTGAACCTCTCCAATTTGACAATATCTTCGAGTTCTGTGTATACCTTGATCAGTCCCCGATAATCGTACTCCAAGCAGGAATACGTCTCTCCGAACAGCTTCAAGCTGATGTCAATGGAGCGCAGGTATAGTTTCTCCGCGTCCCTGTACCTACGCATATGGAAGTTGTACAACGAAGCCAAGTGTCCTAAACTCAGTCCCACTTCGTAATCATCGGCGCCCAAGAGATGCTCCTTAATTTGGATAGCCTGAAGGTGCATCTTCTCTGCCTGTTCGTACCTATTCATGCTTTGGTATAGCCGTCCCAAATTCCCGTAATGTTTGGCAGTGTGCACGTTGATTTTGCCGAAGAACTCCAACGAAACATCCAGTGCTTCCTTGTGCAAAGTCTCGGCGGTGATGAAGAATTTGTCGCGAGTTTCTTGGTTGGCCTGATGACGCATATCGATGGCCATCTCCTCAAGGATCAAAGCTTTCACGCGATGCGTGGACGCTAAAGCCAGGTGGTTCTTTGGCACCAAATCTGTCAGAACGTCTATTGACTCTGTGATCACTTTTCTAAAGAAGAAAATACAATCTTTAATAAACAAACAAAGTATATCGGATACACGGATAACTTACATAGCTTCGGTGAAATCACCCGAACTGTATTCGTGGACGTACATCGCGTAAGCCAGGTCTTCTTTCACGAACGCCACCTTCAGACTCTTCGCACCAAACATACTCAACCTAATGTCCACGGCTTTTCTATATAATTTGACGCTGTCTTCGAAACGGTCGGTGTTCAAAAGGTAGAAGCCGTAGTCCATCAAGATGTCCGCTAAAATTGGGTTTTTATCGTGTTTGAACTTTCTCTCGGCAAGGCACAGTGCTTGCTCGATCAAAAGGGCGGCGTGCGCAAATTTCCTTTTGAAGACGCAAGCTCTCGACGATATTCTAAGTACATCTATGATCATCCTTGTGGGCATGCTGCTTTTCAACAGAGTTATCGATTTGTGTGCCCATTTATAAGCCTGCAACACAAGAATTATTATAATCATCACAATTTTGAAAAGTCATAATCAATCAACATACCTCATTGTATTCACTTCGCATTACGAACAAATGCGCGAAAATTGCGTAGAGTCCGCACAGATTCGGCAATGTCTGCAAATCCTCCAATTCCTGTATAACTTTGTTTGCAAGCTGGAAAGTGTTTTCAGCGTGTGTGAATAGTGAATACGAGGATTCAACAAATAATCGCCTAAAACAAACATAACACTAAATTATTGACGGAAGCTGCACATTGTTGTTTTTGCAAATATTTGTAAGAATAACCATAAACAAATAAAACTTTATGATCCCAAGTTATCTCACAATTATATGTAAATACAGTAGCTGAAAGTTATCCATAAATCAACTAAAAAAGTAAATATTTCTATGTATTTTAATAATGATAATTAACAAATAAAGATTACGTAGACTTAATAAATTTAGAACATGTATGTTCTAATTTACAAGATGCTATCCGATATTTCCCAAGAGAAAACAGCATCAATTGAAGAAACGTTTTTATTCATAGCAAAAACAAGTTTATTTCAATCAGAGCGAAAAAGCGTTACGTTTCCAAGGATTGACCGATGTGACCTCTGCGAGAACCCTTCTTCAAGACCTTCCATTTGAATTACACTACATTCAGATAATGTAATGCAACAACAAAAACTGGCAGTGTGGGAATTCGCGATGTGGATTTGATACGACACGGAAAGAAGCGACGATTGCAAATTGATCTTAATTGAATGACAATGGAGGAAAATAATTGAGGATAAGCGTTCGCGTTTTATGTAGTTAACCGTAAGGTCGTTGGACAGAGTTGAACAGCATCAATTAAAGATTAATAAAACCCAATGAATACTATTTAGATGGAAGAAAGGAGAAAAAAAAGTACGTATGAATGGACAAAGCGCGTACAGGTCATACGACTCGAATAAGTGAACTTATCTAATCCGAAGAATAAAGGATACTTGTATTATGCGCTCTTGATTATCTGAGGCGAAAGCTGATTTGCAGATGCTGCTACAATAAGGAAGTAGATTTAAGATTTAGAATCTTACAAATCAATCGTTCTCCATCATTAACTTTAGAATCACGAGTTTACATTTAAAATAAAGTAAACATTTCGTAAACTAATTAAATTTAATTTATGACTGCTTCATGTGCATTTGATTATTTTTAATAAATTAACATATAATTAATATTGTTTGTTTTTAGCTTGGAAGATAACAGTTTAGAAATGTACGTAAACTGTAATTAGTGAATATTTTTGCAACAGTTATCATACTTATTTAGCATTTTGTGATAAGAGCAAATTATTGACTATTTTAAATGTTGAAGGTAATGGATGAATTCAAGTTTATTTTTATGAATGCGCTAAACAATGCTCTAAACATATTTTAGTTAGCATAAAGCAACTAAAATATCATCGCTCAGTAGAAAAGACTGGCGATTTTGGGAATTTTAAATATGTCGTGTCCCAGAGGATAATGAAAGCCCCCATAATAGAAATGTAATTGGTATGGTTCTTACCTGTGGTAGAGATATAAGAGTTTCTTTAGAATATGGACGTTTCGCTCGAGAGTCAGGCAGTATTTTTCAGTCATGTTTAGGATTTCGTGAGCGATTGGGTACCAGCCTAATTCGCTGAAAAATGCCCCTATCCGAAGACCATTTTCTATAACGCAGTAATCGTCCGGTTTGCTGTTACTTATCGCCTCTTCAAACTGTTTCACTACAAACTTGTCCAATTCTGGGTCGAAATCTTTCAAGTCTCCGAACATTTTCAAGAACTGTGACCTTGTGTGTTTCACTCTAAGTACCTTGGAGATCACATTGTATTCGCTCAACTCGTACGAAAGCCAATAGAAGCTATTCTTCAAGTACATCTGCAACAAAAAAAAAATAAGGAAACACTGGTTAGTTACCTGAAATATGTACCTGCACGACCTTTTTTTTTTACTGAATGAAATTTTAAGAAAATTCTCTGTTAATAGAAATAAACACTTTTCGAAGTCTTCAAAATAAATATTGAAATTTTCATTAAAGTATAACTTGCAAAAATGATACCAAAAATAAATTATTTGTTTTTAAATTTTGCAATTGATGACACAGTAGGAAAGGCTTATCACTTCTTTAAAAAGTGTGCCAACAATAAAGAAACCGTGTTTGGGTTAAACGTTTCGTTTATCTCGAAGCGAGTAAACAAAATATCGCGGAAATTATTTATAAAGCACAAGGAGAAATAAAAATAAATAAATAGACGAAATGTGTAGGATTATAATCATCGACCTCTCACTGCTACTACACATTCTCCGGGGTGTTCGAAAAATATAAATAAATAAATGAAATAATCATAAACGTGTCGAAGGATTTCTATTTACAAAACATGTTTTCATTCTCCTCGTGTACTTTCTTTATCGCATGCAAGAGAAGCAGATTTCGATTTACCCATGAAAAGTACATTGAAATTATCTATCGATGTTGTAAAGAATTAAAACCCTGGATTCTTCAGAAAATAATGATAACAGTAAGCAATTAATTGCAATTTGAAAGGCATCGAACATAATAAAGAACCAAACTGCATGGTCACCGTTAGTGCAACTTTCATTACGACTTATGGTTATTGTTACACCAAAGAACAGAGATCCCTTTACGTTGCTATGCAATTCGTTGCGTAATAAACCTGTTTAGTATTACTTCGAGAGAGCTTCCCCATTTTGCTGTTCTCTTCATCTATTACTTAATTGGGGCCGACGTTCTGCAAATTGCATTCAGTTTCTTCTATCTCATTCAACTTCAGAAGTAATTTCAATAAAATTATACATTTAAACAAAACTAGTTAAATATATAATAATGTTTTTTTTAAAGTTTTATACAATAAATTGCAAAAATGTATACATTTTACGATATAAACGTTCTTTGACTAGTTTATCTTAGTTTCTTATACTAATAATATATCAAGAAAATAAAATAATTTCTGCAATAAACAGGCTTTAAAAATAAATGACAATTGTTTAATGATTATTAGCAATTTCCTTCAATAACTTTGTTGTTCTCTTTTCCCAACTGAATGGTCCAGGAAAAATACTCCATGAGGAAAAACATGTGTTCCTACGTAGTACCTTCAATTTGCAGCAATTGATTCAAAGAACATGCGTATTTTTTTGTTGTTGTTGTTGATAATAAGGTAGCCAAAACAAAGATTACAACGTTAAGGATTGGAAAGCCTTTGGAATTAGATTGCACTTATGCAAAACCACGATTTGCATAAAGAACTGATTGCAATTGTCTGGTATGCAAAATGCATTTAATTTCCATCATTTGTATAGAAGGCTTTGCAAATAAAAATCAGGAACAAAACAATAACAAGGATGTGGCGTCTAGGTTCTTACGTGAAGACGTCGACGATGATCAATCAACCTTGGATTATTATTTCTTTCTTAAATTCTCCGCACGCACAGGGGGGTAGTATGGGAAGAAGTATGAATTAAATGTAAACATTACCTTGTAATAAATATCACAAACTATATGATCGGGCAGTGAATCTAGACTTTCGTGGTGGTGAATATCATAGTTATTAGTTATAATGTTGTTGAGGCAACAACTGTAAAGCGATGGTATCGGCTTCTTCATGACTTCTTTGTCCAGGTTAACCATATCTGGACTTGCGTATCCCCTCACTCACAACACTGAACTGACAAAACGATGGTTGGATGCGGTTCGATGATCCAGCTTCTTGTTTCCAATATTTATGTACAAGACCTAACAGTGTTACCAACAACAGCAAAGAAAGGAGTCAACGAGATGCGCGTTTCTTTTGAACCATTTTTTGCGCATACTTTTAAAATTCAAAATTTACAAGAATACTTAAATTTCAGCAATAAAATTAAAACTTTATTATTCTCATTTTTGGTTATTGCACATTAAACAATAGTGATGATATCACTAAACTGATAATTATTATTGCACTTTAAATCTGGTTGTGTTTTTTAAATAAAATTAATTAATTATTTAATATCATGTAAGAAGGTATCCCGTTCAGCCAATTAAAGCTGCTGAGCATTGTTAAAATCGTATTCACTTCTAGTATTTCCAGCTGCACTTCTGTCAATGTCTTCGTAGCTTTCATTGTGACCTGGAAACATGTTGCCAATCAAACCTGCAATTCAATTATGTCACTGTTTTAAAAACAAAGAAAATAAGTTTTCAAATTTCTATATCTTATACCTGGATTGCCCAGTCGTTCTCTCAACATATGCATTATGTAGACTGTTGTGAATGGCCTCACAATCAAAAGCAATATTCCCATGGCCGCTGAGAATCTTGCTGCACCATCTGCAAAGAATATTAAAAAGCAATTAGTCACAGCACAAAAATAGCTCAATCACATAGTAACAATAATTCAATAATTGTGTGGGTGTGACTTGCATATTGCAATTTGATGTATTATTTCAATGTCTTATACTAACTATGAGAATCAGGAAACCAGAGAGCCAGCACGAACACATCTAGTATAATGGAGATTACATTTATACTAAATGCCTAAAATAAACTGAAATTAGGTATATTTTGATCAAGGTTTAAAGGGTCAAATACCAGTTGCACAGGATCCTCAGATTCTTTGTTCTGCAGACTCCACAATATGAGAATTAATAGGAGGAAGTTGTAGAACAGATAGGCGGTTGGGGCCCAGCTTCCAATGGTGCTGAAAATTGTGAATATGAAGTGAATGCAAAATATAGCCTGAAAAAGAGGATTAACATTAGATGTTTCATAATGATTTTCCAATCCTCACCTTCAACGGAAGATCTTTTATTCTCGACACGTCCGGCATATTTACAATATTCTTTGTATCTAATTACACTTTAACACGTTTCCGTATCGCCTATTTCGTGAATCTATAAAAGAATACGTCAAAAGAACAAAAACAAAGATAATTTGTGTCTTTGGTTGCATTTTGTTTATATTTCACCACTGAAATTTACCTAGATTATGGAAATTAAAGTACATGCATATAACAAATCCATATGGACAAATAGTAATTTGTCATTAAATAAAGGAATTAACAACAACGTTATAATTAAACAACGCTTTTAAATGCATTTTATTAGGATTAAAATATTGGATTGTGTAACATTGGTTGCACACATCTAATTGGATATGTGAAGGATTGCTAATGTTTGCTTTAGTAAGAATTTACTTAAAGTTACAATTTAGAAAAATACTTTATTTTAATCACAATTTTGTTTTTTTAATGATGCAAATATATGAGTAAAAGTGTATCAATAATAATGGTGCATTTTACAGGTAATTGGGTGATTATGTTATCTCATGATTATAGTTAATAATAATTACATAACGAAAATGGCAGCTGAGAATTCCATAGTGGTTGTTGGTAGTTGCATGATAGATTTTGTCAGGTAGAAGATACTTAATTATGTAATTAATGCATTAAAGAGTTTCCTTTCTTTACTTGGTAGTTATGCACCCCGATTGCCACAAGAAGGTGAAACTATCCATGGCACTAAATTTGTTACAAATTTTGGTGGCAAAGGGGCCAACCAATGTGTAGCTGCTGCTAAATTAGGTGGCAACACAACTTTGATTGCCAGAGTAGGTGATGATATTTGGGCCGATAAGTACATAGACAATCTGAAAGCATGCAAAGTAAACACAAAGTATATGGAGAAAACAGAGGGATATGCCAGTGGAGTTGCACAGATTACAGTATCAGCTGATGGGGCAAATCAGATTGTTATTGTTGCTGGTGCAAACTCTAAACTTTGTCCAGATGATGTTAGGAGATCTGAGCAGGCCATCAAGAATGCAGCTGTTCTGGTTTGTCAATTGGAGACTTGTGCAGAAGTTGCCATTGAGTCAATGCAATTGTGCGGTGGTGTAAGTTGCTGATGGTAATATAAAAACTATATATTAAAATTGGCATTTTATAATGCAGGTTACAATATTGAATGGAGCACCTGCAGTTAGCCAATATGATATGAGATTGTTGACAACCCCAAAGATTTTCTGTGTTAATGAAAGTGAGGCTTCAATATTCAGTGGTGTTGAAGTGAAGAACATCAAGTATAAATATTTCCAAATTATTTTGTACCTTTGTAATCAATGTTCATTTTAGTGATGGTAAAGAAGCTATTGAAGCTTTGCTGCTGAAGGGCTGTAACAGCGTTATATTAACGTTGGGTTCCGAAGGAGCTCTGTACTCTTGCAAAGCCGATCCCAATAATTTTGTTTACGTTAAATGCCCGAAAGTGAAATGCGTTGACAGCACCGGAGCTGGTGATTCTTTTATTGGTGCTCTGGCTTATTTACTTGCCAATAAGAAGGATTTGAGTATGGAAAAGTGCTTGGAGCAAGCGTGCACAGTCGCATCGGACAGTGTTACCAAGCCTGGTACACAGATCAGTTTTCCTGGTCCCGAGATTTTGTTGAAACTTTAATGTGAATTTACACTTAGATAATCAATAAAATAATCATAGAAACATAATTTATTTTCATAAATGAATATTATTTGTTAAGACCTACACAATATAGGGACATATAAGAACCAGATAAATATATTTCTTTTTTATTCTTTTAATTAAAATATTAAATAACAGTTTTGGTATTGTTGCGCAAAGATAGATATATGCCTAAGAAACCTAACTAGGTATCTGAAAAGTAAAAATTAACTATTTCTCAAGAGAAAACAAAGGGAGTTCTATTTTCCAGAAGTACACCGAGTTACATGCCGCCTATCAATTTGAAGGGACGACAGGTGGATTGGGCGAAAGAGTTAAGATTCCTGGGAGTATAGCTTGATAGCAAACTTTCATGGAATACACAACTAGCCGAAACCCTTAAATCCACGGAAAAAGGAATCAACTTGCTTAGAGCGATTTCGAGCATAGATTGGGAATCAGACCCGGCAACTATTTTAATATTTTACAAATCGTTTATTCGTCCCAGATTGGAGTACGCTTATTTTGTCTTATCGTTTTATCGCAAAGATTGCGATCTTGGCTGCTCAATTGTTCCGTATGAATCTTTTGGAATCATATATTTTTTGAATGCCCAAATAATAGTATGCATACAAACTTTAATAGAAGTATTGCTAAGAATGGACGAAGGCAATATTTACAGATTAATTTTAAAGTTTATCAAAAAATTAGGTTGTGTTTGAATATGTTATGTAATTTATTTATTTGAATTTTTATATATTTAACAATTTTTATCGGTTTGTTGGATATTTTGTATATCTTAACTTTTTGTGACTTATATCTACTTATTGCTACTGGTACATTTATAACAATTCATATAATATTTTATTTACTTATCAGTGACCTTACACATTGTGTTAAGAATCGCTGGGTAGCAGTTCGTGAAGAGTTCCTATATGTTTTTTTTTTATTGAGTTACATATATGTGCTTTTAATGTTTAATCTTGTGGTGCTCACTCCAGCCCGCAGCTGGTATTCCGGGAAGGTCCGATAAGGGCTCTACCTGGTTAGGGTATATAAGCGGCGACAAATCTGTACCCTCTCTCTTTGCTTTTTACTCTCTTCTCTTATTTCCTGTCTTTGCTTCCGCATCTGTTGTGTCTTAATAACATGTAAGTTTCTCAGTATTATCCCGTGTGTATTCTCTGTGTTGGCCCTTGGGCCTCGGACTCATTATACTGTAAGAAACCTTTGTAACATTTATATCTTATGTAACTCTATATTGTAACTAATCATGTCAAATAAACATATACTACGAGCATCTCCTAAATCTTATTCAGTATTTAATACGGCACATGCACCCCGTTGTGCATACTTCCACTCCATTTCAGAGTGGAAGAAACAGAACAGAACAGTTTTGGTATATAAGAAAAAGTATAACGATTTAAAACTGAATAAATACAAATGTTTATTATTATATATAAAATACGTTGAGGTTAACAATTAAATAAATGATCATAAATAATGTTAATATTTTCTGTTATCGAATCGCAGAGCTTTTGCGCATCTGCACGATTTGGAATGATGGCTTTGTCCACTCTCATACCGATGCTTATGCGATTCGCGTATCCGTAAGTGCATATTCCAATACCTGAAACTTTACTATAGAATTGTGTCATTGATAAACTTTGGTGTTCCTACCGTTACAGAACAAGTTGGGGACCCAGTAGTGATACGCGTCGAGCTTCATTCCATTAATTATCGACACTTCTTCCGGCACTCCTGGAAAATTGCTGAACAAAATCGAATGGAAACATTTTGTAATTACTTTCATCTGCACGCTATTCGGAAACAGCGATAAAAAACCTTCAAATGTCCAATCCATGCTCTACAGAGATTTCAATGAAAATTAGTAATTGTTGCAACGTAATTCATACTTTAATATCCATCATCTTCGGTATCTTCTCTAAGTCATCTTTAATTCCATCCATCCTGTCGATGATATTCCCAGTGTAGTCGATAGGAATCTTCAATTCGCACGCGCTGAAGTTGTTCGTGAAATTGCTGTACTTGCACTTGTTAATACGCAACAATAGGATCATGTTTACAGTTATATCGGTGGGTTTCTGGATGTTTAGCTACTCAAAGATTTTTTTTTTGTTATGGAAATTAGATATAGAAAAATTGTAATTATTACCCTTTCGAAATAATCTTGTAAAGATTTGGATAGTGCGGTAAATAAGATTATCGAGGTGCTGGTACCGTCACCTAAATCTTTTTTGATCGTCTGGATTTTTTCTAACACTTCCGTCGTCGGGTCTGACCATAAAATGCAATGACTTTTATCGCTGAGCTTTTGCGAGAAAATATCGGTTGTTGGCTTCAATATCTTCATGGAGTAAAAATCCGAAAGCTTGATGCAATTCCAGAATATCTTAAGATAATTGGTTACGGTAATACTAGAATGTTTCTTCTCTGCTTTAGCTACGAAATTACATTGACAATTATTTGATAAAACTATCTTTAAGTTACTTACTTGCAGGTTTTATGGGCACACCGTTCATGTTTTTGATTATACTGTACCCGTCTCCTAAGGTGTGATTGATTTTAATGTAAATTGGATAACTCCAGGTGCCCCGACGGTTCTGAATCCGCTCTTTGCCGATGTTCCATTCCATCATGGCTTCACCATTCAGCGGCATCTGTTTGGCGTCCATAATCTCGAGATATTCCATAAAATCTTTAACGATCTGAGTTTCTAAGAAATACGAGAATCCGCAGAAGGTCCTGACGACGCTACGGACCTTCAAGTCTTTGCAGTAATTATTGAAGATATAATCCGAGCTGATCTTAAAAAACTCATCGCCGCTACCTTCGAAATCGACTAAAAGAACTGTTAGAATCGACGATTTATTGGAATCTGGCTGCAGTGCGAAAATTATGTCGGTGCCGTTCACGAAACCCACAAACTTTCTTCCGTGTCTAATGTATAGTAAAAAACCAACAAATAATTTGTACGATTTCATTATTGTCAGCGCCAATAACCAAACTGGTAACAAAAGAACTATAACAGCTATAATAGCAATCAATTTGTAAAATTTGCTTTTCCAAAATTGATTCGTTACATACTGAAAGAATGAAATTTGAAAATGATAATTAACATTTCTATTGGATCAAATACCTTCAATATTGCGTAGAACAGGAATGGTTCGAAGATTCGATACAAGAGTTGAGCTGAAACTTGTGCGTGTAGTAAACTTTATTGAATAAATAAATATGAAACTGCTTACTTTTAAACGACATGTTTCGTACTAATAAAATGAATTTCACTTAACTCTTTCTTATATAACAGATCCAAATAAAAAAAATATTATCGAAATTATCGAAATTACATAAAAATATGAATTAATTATTCGAAGTGGGAAGGAAGGAAAAAAAAAATTATTCGAATTATTGGGAATTTTGTGATCACAAATAACACTAGGATGACCACTAACGACAGGAATTGTTTTCCAATTTACACATGATGAAGTGAGTTTATATTTGCAAACTCTGTAAAAACTTCAAATGAATAAAATAAATTTAAACTGGTTCTGGCGGGGACTTAGTGGATGTCTCTTTATACTTTCAATATTTGTTTATATATAAAAGCGTTCACAGCAAACATAAATTATATTTGCAAGATATAGTCTGCTTTTTTAACATAGATGACAATGAAAATCGAAGATGGTTAATACATTCAAAAATACACATAAAATGATGTAACAGTCGCGAAATCCGGAAATTCTCTTCTCATCGTCATTTCTTATGCAAAACGTTGCTTAATTAATTGGAACATAAAATGCAGTCAAAACAAACGTTAAGGTGTCAAGGTGGTTTGACCAAACATATAATATAAACATATTTTTTTCTTGAATTGAATCTCTAAGAAATACGAGAATCCCGAAAAGATCCGTATGACACTACGAGTCACGAAACCAACGTGTGAGTACAATGTACTGTACAATGTGAGTATTGGTAGCGCAGTCAACCAAATTGGTAACAAAAGAACTATAATAGCAATGAATTTGTAGAACCTGCTTTTCCAAAATTGACTAGTTACATACTGAAAACTTAAATTCAGGGATAATCAACATTTGTATTGGATCAAAATACCTTCAACAGTGCGTAGAATAGGAATGGATCGATACAAGAGTTGAGCTGAAACTTCTGCGTGTAAAATCTATTGAATCAATATAATACTTCTTACTTTTAAAAGACATTTTTTGTCCTAATAAAAAATATGTCCATTGCACTCGTTTTTATATAATATATGCTAATTTGTATAAGTGTTCGATTCAATTATGGAAATTACTAATTAATATGTTATGGAATTACGTTTGAAATGATATATTATTGGGGTCTATATCGCAAGCCCGAAAACCAAAAGCCCGTCTATTGAAATCCCGACAATCAAAATGCCGATTATTTCGAAATCCCATAAAAATGTTATTGTAGAAATTTATAATAATAAAAGACACTGCAGGGATTTTGATTGTCGGGATTATGGTAGTCGGGATTTTGCCATAGTCGGGATTCCGATATAGTCGGGATTTCGAACGTCGGGATTTCGATACTCTCGGGATTTCGAACATCGGGATTTCGTTTGTCGGGCTTGCGATTGCCACCGATATTAATGATGTTTTTTTTTTCATAAATTTATTACCTTAACAATTATAATTTATTCTGAAGGGTGCAGCCTGAAAGACTGAGGGTTTTTGAAAAAGTCATTTTCAATCTTTATTATATATATTTTTTTTGAAAATAAACAAACAAATCTATGTAAATAAATAAAGAAACTAATATATTCTTAATAACAAAAATACTGGACAACCTTGGTGGTTTTCTATTTTATTAATGAATAAACAAAATGAATTATTTATGTTTAACAAAAATAAAATATAAATATGCAATAGAAAAGATAATTGAATTTTAATATATCAATTTTTTTTTCCTGGAAGTGTACACTTTATTATATGAATATTACGTTTTGATCAATAATCAAATATTAAGTAAATCAAAAATTTGTAATTATAAAACTTTATTAGTAGCAATTAATAAATTTCATATTTATAATGGAAATATGTCAAGAATTGATGCATTGTTTGTAAATATTCATGATATTGTTAATTGTTGCATTGCATAGATTTGAAAGTTCGTCAACATCAGAAATGAAAGCTTCGTCCACGCTCAAGCCCATGTTAAAACGATTTCGGTAGGAGTAGAAGCATATGTTGAAGCCTGAAATTATATATAAATAACAGAAATGTACCATCACTATGCATTATTTTGTACCGGCATTGCCCGGATTCGGAATCCAATAGTGAAACGCCTCAAGTTTTGTGGATTCCAATATCTTGATCTCCTCTTTGAGTCCGGGCATATTGCTCATCGAAACCGTATGAATGCCCTTCACGTATATACTTTTGGTTAGCGCGTTCGGAAGCAACGGAAATAACGTTTTGTTGTACCAATCTCCGATCTTAAATCAATGCAAGAAGAAAAAGAAAAACATAAATTATATAAGGAAATATTTAAATAATAACACTTACTTTCATGTCCAAGGTGCTAGGAAACTTAATAAAGAAGTCTCTCATGATCTTCAATCTGTCTAACATATTTCCATCAAAATCTATGGGAATTTTGATTTCGCAAGGGCTGAATGCGTTTGTGTAATTGGTGTAGCTGCATTTAGCAAAGTTAGTCAACTGAGTTAACGTCATTCCTAATTCGCGAGGCTTTTGCATTTTCCTCTGTTAAATTAATTTGTTTCAATTACGTCTTTGTTTGTAATTAAAAGAAGCGTAGTTTTACCGAATCGAGGTAGTCTTCCAAAGCTTTCGATAGGGCCGTGCATATGATTGCCGTTGTCGTGGTTCCATCATTTAAACGATTTCTGATCTCTTTCATTTTATCGAGAGTGTCGGATGTTTTATCTGCCCATACGGTATAATTCTTCTCTCCGACGAGCTTTTGCGTGAAGGTATTTTCCGTTGGATAAAGAGCCTCTAAATTGTTCATCACCGGAGACTTCATGCATGTCCAGAAGCTCTCCAAATAGAGACGCATCGGATTAACGTTTATAAGTTTTGTTACTGAAATCATCAAATGTCTTTAACTAGTTGCAACTTTGTTAAATCAGTTACTTTTTTTTGGTTTGTGCGATACTAATTGAAGACCTCGAAGCATGGATATGCCATCACCCATAGAATGATGGATCTTTGCGTAAATGGGATAACACCAGATGCCTGTTTTACTCTCAACTTTATCATTTCCAACGCCGAATTGAATCAAGCCTGTGTCGTTAACGGGAAATTTCATTTTGTCTAATTCTTTCATGTGATCCTGGAAATTGCCATTTTTCGAATCCATCTTTTTTATCAACTCATCCTTATCCAAGGGATGTTCGATGAAGTAAGAGTAACCTAAGAACGTACAACGAACGCAACGAATCTTCACGTCTTCATTGTAAAAATCGCATATCTTTTGTGAGGCAATCTTGAAAAACTCTTCACTGGTCCCTTGGAAATCGAATAGATATACTACATTGATGGTAGCTTTTTTAGTGATTGACTCCAATGAGAATATAGTATCACAGCCGTGCATGAAACAGACAAACTTATTTCCGTGTCTTATGCGCAGCAGAAGACCAACGAATAATTTGTAAATTTTTAATACCACCATACACGTGTAGAAGAATGGTAAAAACAATACCATCCCAACAAACATCGCGACGAATTGATTGAATCTACCATATTTCTTAGTGAGAAGCTAAAAACATAAAAAGGAAGCAAAGATTTTAGGCGTATTTTATTCGCTACCTTAATTAAACCGTACAATATGAACGGCTCGAAAATGCGGTACAAAAGCTGAGCTGAAAATTGAATTGAATTACTATGAAAAACAATAATTTTTCGACTTACTTTTGACGGTCATCTCTTGCAAATGAATAGCAATTCGCGAATCCTTCATTTATTATTCCGTGCACAATAATTACGAACACGTTTGTAATTATAGAATTTTTCTGGAATTCTTGCATTACTACACAATTATAATTATTACGGACTTTGCTCGAATATAAAACATAGCATACAGGATAATGGGAATACAATTTTGATCGTTTTGTCGTTTCTTGTCTATTCATTATAATTGCTCCAATTACATTACAAATGTGTTATTGTATAATTAGACGCTGCTTTTAAGTATAGTCGTTCCATCTTGTTTATATTCTCGACGATTTCCAGCATCAAGGTCTTGGCGTCGTCGTAATCAGGAATGACACCGCTGTCCACTTTGAGATTGACGTAGAAACGATTGCAATAGCTGTAAGTAGCTATAGAAATAGCTGGAAAACGTAGAGAAAAATGTGTGATAATCTTATGAATGCTTTAGTTTATTTTTAGGTTTACCAAGATCGTGGAGGTTCGGTGGCCACAGCAGATAATCCTCCAATTTATGTCCATCTATGAGACACGTTTCCTTTAAACCAGGCAAATTGCTCAGAATTAGCGGATTGAAGAACATCGGCACCAAACATTTAGTAATTGGAACTGGAAACAGTGATAGAACCACTTTGGTAAACCACTCGTAGACCTGAAACAGCTTACATTTTACCAGAACATTCGATATGACTTTGTGTATACTTCACATTTTCGTCCATCGATGATTTCATCTCATTCTGCTCTTCGTTGATAATCTTCAATCTCTCATCCCAACCGCCTTCAACGCAAATCGGTAATTTCATGGTGCTCAGACCTACTTTATTGGTAAACTCATCCGGGTTACCATAATTAAATTTACTTTCGGGGTAGTAAGTGAAAGTGGTCATCAATCGTTCCAAATCCGTCATCTTGTTCTGTAAAAGACAAAACGTAAACAATACCATCAATCACATGAAAACGAGTAAGCAAACCTTTCTGATGTAATCTTGCATTGCTTTCCCTAAAGCGGCCATCAGCACAGCGATGAACGTTACACCTTTAAAGTTCTTAATCATTTTGATCTTTTCCATAATCCGAGGCTCCACCTCGCTGAACGACAACATATATTTTTTACCGGTATGCTTCTTCAGGAAGTCGCTCCTCTGTTTCTGAACAACCCTCGAATCGTAAACTTCTGATGTAACGCTAAAATTCTTGACTATTTTTTTAAACTTTGACCTCCAACTATCCACGGAAACCGTGCTGTTAGGATTCCCTACTAAATGAGCTATGATAAAATTCATGATAGAAACGCCATCGCCCAGACAGTGATGGTATCTCATAAGAATGGGATAACACCTGTACCCTTTGCTGCTGAGCACCGTTTTTTTGCCCACGTAGAACTGCAGGAGTCCGCGGTTCTCGAAAGGCATTGGTTCATTCTCGAAGCGGTCCATGAACCTGATAAAATCGCAGTTATCTTCGGGAAGCTTCATGTCTTTGATAAAATCCTCTTGTCGTATTTCCGTTTCCATCAGACATACGAAACCCAAGAGGTTTTGCCTTAAGCAACGCGTTTTCGGTACACTCGAAATGATGTAGAAGAGAAATTGCGAGATTCTATTGAAGAACGCTTCGCCGTTTTCTTGCGAATTAATGAGCAAAACGCTTGTTATCGTTGAAATGTCCGTTGATGTTTCAATTGCAAAAGGCAAGTCTCTTCCGTGAATAATTCTGATAAATTTCTTTCCATAGATGAGACGAAGGATTAAACGGATTGACTCTTTGTACACCTTGAATACTATTAGCAAAATCCACCAAAACGGAAGAATCAGCATTGTTAAGATCATGGAAATGATGTTGATTAGCCATCGTCTCTCATATTTCTTCATAATAAACTGAAATAATGTCAATTTTTAATAGATTAATTAAGTTAATAATATTGTATTACCTTTAACAAAGCGTAGAATAGTCGAGGCTCTACTAATCTATGTTGAAGCTGAGCTGTAAACGCATGATTTGTATAATGGATATAAAAGAAAATGTAATAAACAGAACTTACTGGTAAAAGACATTTTGATAACTAACTTCGATTTTCGTTGTGAGATTCTTTTAATCATATAAAAAACTAAAAAAAAATAAGATATTATTACTTGTTTATTGCCTATATACTTTAACGGGTTTGTACTTATAAAACTAGTAGAATACTAGTAATCTTTTTTTATATTTATTAATATGATTCTCAATGGTTCTTTTTTCTAAAACGGTAATTTTAATGGTGAATTTAATTTGGAAAACCTCATATAAACGAAGTTTATCACCATTCTTTAAATACAGTAATAAACCAACAAAAGTACTGCAAAGCCTTCAGATTGTTAGTGTTAGTAATCAAAATGTAACGAGAAGTGTCGCAATAAAATGTCCTAAAAATAAACTGAAAACTATTGGAATTTTAGTTCTGTTTTGATGTTAAGAAAGAAAAAATAATCTTTGTAAATATAATTTAATATAAATTACTAATTAATAAGTTCTTTACATAATTAACAAAAATAATGATATATATTTTTTTTTTAATATTTTTAGATAAAATTCGAAATACTCACAATAATCTTACAAAACCATATACTAGATCAGTGTATGCCAAACTTTTCTTTAGCTCATGACACGCTGAGTGAGGAGAATTTATTTCTAGGAATACCTGGAATCAATTGCGCCAAGTAATGCATTTCATCAGTGAATTTAAATATTAAAATTTAATTATTCCAATTTATTTACTTTTATCATAAATGCGCAATTATTATTATTATAAACATTATTATTACAATAATTAATTTTTTATTCATAGTCATTGAATTATTTATATTCATTTAAACATTCGTCATACAACTTGTAAATGTTTTCCATCATTGAATCGCATAATCTGTGGGCATCGACTGATTCAGGTATAACGCCTTTGTCCACTTTCAAATACGTTCCAATACCGACATGCTTAAAATTAAGAAATTTACTTATGATTCCTAGAATTTCTTCACCAGCTTCGCAAACATTTGTCACCCAATAGTGGTAATCCTGTAAATTCATGCAGTCAAAGTCCAATTCTTCTTCGCTGACCGGCATGTTGCTTAAAACCATGGAATTGTAAATTTTCATAAAAAAGATTTTCACCAGCGAATTGGGAAATATCAAATATAGAACTTTATAACACCATTCGTGAACGTGACAAGGTTAGAGTGTATAATATACTAATACAACAATACCTCGCATAGTGCGAGATATAATCTTATTATCCGCACTATGCGAGGTATTGCAGTACTTTGTGATTCATTATCGTCGGTGATCGATGATTTTCGATATCAGAGCACTTCAGTCTATCCAATAGGTTTCCACTGAAGTTTACAGGTAATTTCATAACGTTCGTGTCAAAACTGTTCGTGTATTCGCTGAATTTGCTTTTGCTTATTTGCGACAAAATCGTGTACGATAAATTTAAAAAGTCTGGTTTTCTCAATGATTTCTAGTTGTGTTAAATTTATTACGTATTTTTAATCCTTTATTTTAATTAACTCTCCAAATCGTAATATTCTTCAAACGCTTTTGACAAGGCTGTGCTCATAATTATCATGGTTGTTGTACCATCATTCAAGAAATTTCGAATCTGTTTAATTTTATCCAATACATCAGGTTTTGGCTCAATCCCAAGAACGTAATGTTTCTGGCCTTTGTGTTCGGTCGTGAACACATCGTCAGGATTAGTGAAAAAACTGGAATTATCAAATTGCGATGATTTTATGCATCTCCAAAATTCTGAAACTCTTGCAATAGTTGATATTTTTTGTATACGCAGTTTTTTTGTATCTGTAAAGTGAAACGATTTTTGTTTCAATAATTTCGAGGAAGTTCACATTTGCAAAGTTATTAATAATCAAATATAAGACTTTTATTGCGCAATTAAAGAGATATACAGAAACAAACTTTTTTCGCGAATAAAACTCATAGAAAATATTTTTAAATGAACTGGAACAAATTAATATTTTATAGATTTGTGAATAATTAATTAATGTTCTGTATAAAAGTACTGTATTAATTATATTTCCATATTCTAAAAGATTCATTCTTTAGTTGCGTGTGAAGTTACTTTGAAGAATAATTAATTTTCTTTCAGATTACTGAATATATTGTCGTGTCCCAGGGTTAAGAAATCCTTGGACACCGTGGATTATCTCGTAGTTATGTCGTTGCGGAGTTTTAGATGGGTTTATGAATATTAAATGCAATATACTTAATTAACTTTATTGTATACATTGGAGTTTTATTGAGAAGTCAACTAAACAATAGTTGATCTCAGGTATTATTAACTAAGAGTTACATTCTCCTCTTAAGTTAGTGTTTATGAAGTAAGTCCAAGGAAGAGCAACTTCTCAGTTCGACCGCTTAGCTTAGACTTTCTCTCGGTTCGACCCCTTAGCTAAGACTAAATTATATAATACAAAAATGTGTTCATTTTAAAAAGGGGCTGCGTGGGAGGTAAGGGTTTGACCTTGTGGAAAACACAACCGTTTCTTTATCTAAGTTTTATAATCCTGGCCAAATATTTAGGGGCTGCAGAAGGCTGTTAAGTGGTGATGCATTAGACGCAACTATACGATTGAATGTGTAACCGTCGTTCGGAATATTCCACAAGTTATTCTAAATAATCACGTACAAGTATCCGTTTGTATATTTGATGGATACATTAAATATGATTTGTAATAATTAAGAGGAAAGTCATGGCCCTAACAAATATACATATCAGTTATACAATATATGACAATAAATTGGTCGGCCACGACAATATTTTTATTTATTAGTTAATTTATTAGTTTACATTAATTCTAGTTCAAATTACTTGCATATATAAATATTTTGTTACAATTGTAAATGAATTATTTATATTCCTTTAAGCATTCATCATACAACTTGTAAATGTTTTCCATCATTGAATTGCATAATCTGTGAGCATCGACTGATTCAGGTATAACGCCTTTGTCCACTTTGAAAGACACATTCAAGCGACGCGCATAAGAATACGTTGCAATGCCAATACCTGAAAAATGTTTAAAATAAAGAAATTAACTTATGATTCCTAGAATTTCTTCACCAGCTTCGCAAACATTCGTCACCCAATAGTGGTAATCCTCTAAACTCATGTAGTCAAAGTCCAATTCTTCTTCGCTGCCCGGCAAGTTGCTTAAAAGCACGGAATTGTACATTCTCATAATGAAGATTTTCACCAGAGAATTGGGAAATATCGAATAGAGAACTTTAGAACACCATTCGTTAAACTGTAAACGTGACATGGTTATAGCGTATAATATTAATACAGCAATACCTCGCATAGTGCGACTTCGATCTGTTTCTTTATGCGGTTTTGATGTACTCGATTAGTCCGGTTTCAAATTGTGCGAAATATTAACGGAACCGAATACCCGCACTATGAGAGATATTGAAAGAAATTTAAACGTACTTTGTGATTCATTAACGTCGGTTGTCGATGATTTTCGATAATAGTGCACTTCAATCTATCCAATAAGTTTCCACTGAAGTTTACAGGTAATTTCATGTCGCTCGTACCGAAACTGTTCGTGTATTCGCTGAATTTGCTGTTGCTTATTTGCGGCAAAATCGTGTACGTTAGGTTTAAGAAGTCTGGTTTTCTCAATGATTTCTAGTTTTGTTAAATTTATTACGTATTTTTTATTCCTTACTTCTTTTTAAATAACTTACCGAAACGTAATATTCTTCAAACGCTTTTGACAAAGCTGTGTTCATAATTGCCATGGTTGTTGTTCCACCGGGTAGGAGTTTTTGAATCTGTTTCATTTTATCCAAAACGTCAGGTTTATCCTCAGTCCAAAGGACGTAATGTTTCTGGCCATTGTGTTTGGTCGTGAACACATTGTCAGGATTAGTAAGAAATCTGCAATTATCAAATTGCGATGACTTTATGCATCTCCAAAATTCTGAAACTCTTCCAACAGTTGATTTTTGTTGCATACTCATGTTTTTTATATCTGTAACGTGAAACGATTTTTGTTTCATTGATTTCGAGATGAAATTATATAATTACAATTAAATTTATTCGTCGACAGATTGTTTAAATGTCTTAGTAATGATAAACCGTCTCCTAGCGAGTGGTGCATTTTGATTAAAATGGGATAACACCATTTTCCTTGAGTGTTCTTCACACGTTCTTTGCCAATGTGGTAAAGCAGCATGGATTCATCATCGTAGGGTAATGGTAAGTGTTCCAAAAATTCCATGTAATCCATGATATCATCTACCTTAATTGGAATCTCTTTGATTACGTCTTCCTTAGCGGAACTGTTCTTCATGTAATAGTAATATCCGAGAAATTTCTTCCTGAGACAATTGAATTTTGGTTCTTTGAATTGATTGAACAAGAACTCTGAAGTGATCTTGTAGAATTCATCTCCTGATCCTTCGAAATTTAATAAGAATATAATATTGGTGCTACCTTGGTCTGTTTTTGGAAACAACGAGAATAATCTGTCAATACCGTGCATGAATGTGATAAATTTATCGCCATGCTTGAAATACAGCAACAAACCAAGGGAATTTCTGTATAATCTTAAAATTGTTATTGTAAGTAACCAAATGGGGACAAGAAGTGCAACAATGATAATCAATAAGAGTTTTATCGGCAATTTTGGATTGGAATTCCCTAAAAGGAACTGAAAATACGAATATTTTAGTTATATAAGATTATAACAATAATGCAAAAATGTTACCTTTAGCATGGTGTAAAATAGGAATGGTTCAAAGAATCGAAAAAGTAATTGGGCTTGAAATAAATCAATTACTATTTGAAAGACAAATACTAGTTTAACTTACTTTTGAACGACATGGTTGAATCTAGACTGTTAAAATATGTTCATCAGCTTTATATAATATAATATGTTTGTAATCTTAAAATTTATGTTGTAATTATTTATGACAAGTAAATATGTTCTAATATTATAAACGTTATTCTTGATTTTTTTCCTTGTATTCAAAAAAAATATTCTAGGTAATTAATTCATGAATATACTTTGTTCAAGGAACTTTACATTTACATAATTATTAAAAATCAAATATAAGACTTTAATGATGTTTTTTTTTTCGTTGAAATTTATTAAAAGCTGCAATTAGCGTTATGTAATACTAATATTATTTATTTATTAGTATGATTACAGGCTAGCGTTAATTCATTAGTTTATATTTAATTCTTAAAAAAAAATACAATTATTTTAGTTATAAAAGATTATATCAAGAATGCAAAATGTTACCTTTAGCATGGAGTAAAATAGGAATGGTTCAAAGAATCGAAAAATCAATTGGGCTTGAAAAATATCAATTACTATATGAAGTATAAATTGTAGCTTAACTTGCTTTTGAACGACATGGTTGAATCAAGACTGTGAGAAAATATTTATCAGCTTTATATAATTTACAATGTATCAGAACAGAAATAGTAATTAATTTACCATTATTATGTATTTTTTGTGCAATTTCACATTTGAATACTTATTATAAATAAAATATGAGACCTTTGTTGCGCAATTAAAAAATGTATATATTTTGGTCATTCTCTAAAAATAAAAACAAAATGTTTTTTGGGAAGTAGCGCAATGAAACTCATAGAATTTATTTTTAAATGAATTGGAACAAATTAATATTTTACACACCTGTAAATAATTAATAAATGTTAATTATATTTATAAAAGTATTTTATATATTTTCTAAAAAATTCATTCTTTAGTTACATTTGAAGTATAATGAATTTCGTTTTGATATCGAACTTTTAATGATGTTCTTTTCTTTCGTTAAAATTTACTGCAAGTAAAGGAAATTGTATAAAGCATTATGCAATACTAATAATATTTATATTTAATTCTAGTTCAAAATACTTGCATACATAAATATTTTGTTACAATTGTAAATAGGCGATGAATTATTTATATTCGTTAAAGCATTCATCATACAACTTGTAAATATTTTCCATCATTGAATTGCATAATCTATGAGCATCAACTGATTCAGGTATAACGCCTTTGTCCACTTTGAAAGACACATTGAAGCGACGCGCATAAGAATACGTTGCAATGCCAATACCTGAAACATGCTTAAAATTAAGAAATTTACTTATGATTCCTAGAATTTCTTCACCAGCTTCGCAAACATTCGTCAACCAATAGTGGTAATCCTCTAAATTCATGCAGTCAAAGTCCAATTCTTCTTCGCTGCCCGGCAAGTTGCTTAAAAGCACGGAATTGAACATTCTCATAATGAATATTTTCACCAGCGAATTGGGAAATATCGAATAGAAAACTTTAGAACACCATTCGCTAAACTGTAAACGTAACATGGTTATAGCGTATAATACTAATACCTCGCATAGTGCGGCTTCGATCAGTTTCTTTTCTATAGAGTCATGTTCCCTTGTTTACTCTTTCATTTTATGCGGTTTTAATGTACTCGATTAGTTCGGTTTCAAATAGTGCGAGATATTAACGAAACCGATTACCCGAACTGTGCAAGGCATTGCAGTACTTTTAAACGTACTTTGTGATCCATTATCGTCGGTGGTCGATGATTTTCGATATTAGAATACTTCAATCTATCCAATAGGTTTCCACTGAAGTTTACAGGTAATTTCATGTCGCTCGTACCGAAACTGTTCGTGTATTCGCTGAATTTGCTTTTGCTTATTTGCGACAAAGTCGTGTACGTTAGGTTTAAGAAGTCTGGTTTTCTCAATGATTTCTAGTTTTGTTAAATTTATTACGTATTTTTTATTCCTTACTTTTTTTTTAATAACTTACCGAAACGTAATATTCTTCAAACGCTTTTGACAAGGCTGTGTTCATAATTGCCATGGTTGTTGTTCCACCGGGTAGGAGTTTTCGAATCTGTTTCATTTTATCCAAAACGTCAGGTTTAGGCTCAGTCCAAAGGACGTAATGTTTCTGGCCATTGTGTTTGGTTATGAATACATCGTCAGGTTTAGTAAGAAATCTGCATTTATCAAATTGCGATGATTTTACGCATCTCCAAAATTCTGAAACTCTTCCAATAGTTGATGTTTGTTGTATACGCATTTTTTTGGTATCTGTAAAGTGAAAAATTTTTGTTTCATTGATTTCGAGATGAAATTATATAATTACAATTAAATTTATTCGTCGACAGATTGTTTAAATGTCTTAGTAATGATAAACCGTCTCCTAGCGAGTGGTGCATTTTTATTAAAATAGGATAACACCATTTTCCTTGAGTGTTCTTCACACGTTCTTTACCGATATAGTAAAGCAGCATGGCTTCACCATCGTACGGGAATGGTAAATGTTCCAAAAATTCCATGTAATCATTGATATCATCTACCTTAATTGGAATCTCTTTGATAACGTCCTCCTTGGCGCAACTGATCTTCATGTAATAATAATATCCAAGAAATTTCTTTCTGAGGCAATTGAATTTCAGTTCTTTGAAGTCATTGAACAAGAACTCTGAAGTGATCTTGTAGAATTCATCTCCTGATCCTTCGAAATTTAATAAGAATATCATATTGATGCTGCCTTGATCTGTTTTTGGAAACAACGAACAGAATCTATCAAAACCGTGCATAAAACTGATAAATTTATCTCCATGCTTGAAATACAGCAACAAACCAAGGCAATTTCTGTATAGTCTTAAAATCGTTATTGTAAGTATCCAAATGGGGACAAAAAGTACAACAATGATACTCAATAGGAGTTTTATAGTCAATTTCGGATTTGAATTCCCTAAAAGGAACTAAAAAATTACAATTATTTTAGTTATAAAAAATTATATCAAGAATGCAAAATGTTACCTTTAGCATGGTGTAAAATAGGAATGGTTCAAAGAATCGAAAAATCAATTGGGCTTGAAATATATCAATTACTATTTGAAGTATAAATTGTAGCTTAACTTACTTTTGAACGACATGGTTGAATCTAGACTGTTCATATATGTTTATCAGCTTTATATATATCTTGTAATTTTATATTATGTGCTATAATTAGTTTTGTTAATAAGACAAATAAATATGTTTTTATGTTATTAATCTTATTATGTTTTTAATTATTCCAATATATAAATATAAATGATCATTAATATATATTGTTCATGCAATAACATATTTGCATATTTATTATAAATTAAATGTGAGACTTTTATTGCTCAATTTATTCAAATATATACTTTGTTGATTTGTTACAAATATTTAATAAAAACCGAAGATCTTTGGCCAAGCAGTGTTTCTATGAAAATAGCATAATTTGTTGTTAAATGTATTGGAAAAAAAAAATTTACACATTTATTAACAATTAAATTTGGAAAACAACTTTAATAATTAAAAATTTGCATAAAGTGCATATGAAATGAAATGCTAAAATTCATGTTTTTTTTTTCTAAATACTTTATTTAAGTATATGTTTGTTACTGTGCTTATATTACATTTTAATTAGTTTGTAAAGATGTGAATAATGTGTTGCATATATAGAAACAAATAGGAAAATTTGAGTTTTTGTTTTGTTTTGAATTTGGAAAATACCATGAAGTTAACAACGCATGGATTTTTGTTTTTATAATGGTGGGGCATGTGCTTCGAAGATGTCCTCTTTTTTGATGTGTGTTGTGACATAAGTCAAAATTCGCCGTGGTTTTAATTTGAAAAAGAATTCGCGATTTTTTTTAACCAACAAACGCGCACGCTTCTCACGCGAGGAAGAATGTTTAATGGTGTTTGGGACCTGTAGTTTCCTCCAATACAGTTGTTACTAAAGTGCAATCCCTTTAAGATGGTTGACACTGAAAAAAAAGCTGAAAACATAACCGAAGAGATATACAAGATCACAGACAATGATCTTCAGTTGAGCTTCACCGAGGATAGACATGAAGAGACCATTGAGGGGATTGAATCCATCACACAGACATGGAGGATGAAGGAGCGGGTTAGTGATTTGTATATTGAGATATGAAAATGATCATTAGTTTAAATCATCTTAATATTTCAGATGAAGACTGTCAGTGTGGCTTTGGTATTGTGCTTGAATGTAGGTGTCGATCCTCCGGATGTTGTCAAAACACAGCCATGTGCAAGGTTGGAATGCTGGATCGGTATATATGATTAATTCTCAAATTGTGTGAATCAATATGGGAATTAACATTATTTTTTGTAGATCCATTATCACTATCACCAGCTAAAGCTTTAGAAGCTATAGGTGGTAGTTTGCAAAAACAATATGAGCGATGGCAGCCAAGAGCCAGGTATAAATTATCCCTTGACCCTACAGCTGAGGAAGTCAAGAAACTTTGCACTTCACTTAGAAGGAATGCCAAGGAGGAGAGAGTGCTATTTCATTATAATGGACATGGTGTCCCAAAACCTACTTCTAATGGAGAAATTTGGGTATTCAATAGGGTATTCAACACATATTTTTTACTGTTCAATTTACTAATTATCTTATTAACATAATATTTTAGTCGTTCACGCAATATATACCTTTGTCAGTTTATGACTTACAAACCTGGATGGGTGCGCCATCGATTTACGTATACGACTGCTCAAATGCTGGTATAATAGTCGATTCTTTTAAGCAATTCGCCTTGCAGCACGAGAATGAGTACACAGTAATATTTTCATTCAGAAACTTTGATTCGTTCAATCATTAATCAATCTGTTATAATTGTAGCAAAGCGGAGAAAACGGTACACCTCCACCAACCTTTCAGAACTGTATTCAATTGGCTGCTTGCGAAGCTAGTCAGGTGCTACCTATGAATCCAGATTTACCGGCAGATTTGTTCACAGCTTGTCTGACGACACCCATTAAAGTAGCTTTAAGATGGTTTATTCTGCAAACCACATCGAAGTTGATACCTAAAGTAAAAATGGAACATATAGAACGGTAATTTTATATTCCTAAAACTTGTACTTTTATAATTGTAATCGGTCACAAATGATTAACGTAACATATTTTTTATAGGATTCCTGGTTCAATTACAGATCGCCGAACGATGTTGGGTGAATTGAATTGGATCTTCACAGCGATTACCGATACAATTGCTTGGAACACACTCTCGAGGGATGTGTTTCAAAAGTTGTTCCGGCAAGATTTACTAGTTGCTAGTCTATTTAGGAACTTCCTTTTGGCGCAAAGAATAATGCGATCCTCGGATTGCACTCCGGTGTCTTCACCAGCTTTGCCCGAAACCCATCAGCATCCGATGTGGCAGGCCTGGGATCTTACTCTGGACTTGAGCTTGGGCCAATTGCCTGGCATCTTGGAGCGGGACGTGCCGTACGTGCATCTGCCCTTCTTCGAGGAACAACTAACAGCGTTTCAGGTTTGGCTAAAGTTCGGTTCAGAGAAGAGGAAACCACCGGAGCAGCTGCCGATAGTTCTTCAGGTGTTACTCAGTCAAGTGCATAGAATGAGGGCTTTGGAATTACTGGGGAAATTTTTGGATTTGGGACCGTGGGCGGTCAATCTAGCTTTGTCCGTGGGAATCTTCCCGTACGTACTCAAGCTTCTGCAAAGTTGCGCGAAGGAGTTACGACCGCTGCTGGTATTCATTTGGGCAAAAATTCTTGCCGTTGATAATGTACGTATAAATCCAAATCGAAATTTACAATATGTAATCGGGCTTTATGTTATTGCTTTATAGACTTGTCAAGCGGATCTAGTCAGGGACACGGGTCACAAATATTTCCTATCCATCCTCCAGGATACGACAATTGCATCAGAGCACAGAACGCAGGCGGCTTTTGTTCTGGCCTGCATCGTCAATGAGTATCGTGATGGTCAGGAGGCTGCAGTTCAGGGTTCTTTAGTTTCTATATGTTTGGAGTTATTGTCGGATCCCTGCGCTGAATTAAGGCAATGGGTCGCAATATGTTTGGGTCGACTATGGGACCACTACGAAACAGCTAGATGGACCGGCGTTCGGGATACCGCTAACGAAAAGCTTTATCCACTCCTTCAGGATCCCTGTCCGGAAGTGAGAGCTGCCGCTGTTTACGCGCTAGGCACATTTATCAATTCGGATGTTAAACGCACAGAGCATGCGAACAAAATTGATCATTCCGTGGTCATGACACTGCTCAATACCGTAGTCAACGATATGAGTCCCATTGTCAGGATGGAACTGGTTGCAGCTATTCAATGGGTTGTGCTTTCCTTTGAGCACGCCTTCATCAACGAGGCAATACAAGAATCTACTAGGGATCGTCTGCGCTTACCGCCTTCGATGAGCCATGGTTCAGGTATGGATCATGTCGACTCTTCGGAGCGTCTGAAGCGCGTTGCTTCAAGCACGTCCATCAGCACCGCAGTTGGGCTTGGCACTTCCACTTCAATGCCTTACGGCTCTGTTTACATAAAAGTTTGGACAGTGCTGAATATTTTAACCAATGATCCGCATCCGGACGTTGCTAAAATCTCGAACACCGTAATAAATTACATCAAAAATCAAATCATGGTACGTCCATAATTCATATATACATTACTTTTTAATTTCTGGATTAATTATATTATTTTTATGTATAGGATCAAAAACGGGATTGCGGTGATATTAAGTTGAGCTCAAGTATCAGCTTACCTCCAAGTCCGAACAAGACGTCTTTCATGGCCGAAAGTCCACCTCACATGGCTTCTTCCACTGATTTACAGCGATTGGCCACAAGGTAATTATTATATAATGCAGTTAGCAACAGGTTGACCAACTGCATTCTTGATGACTTAAGTTAATCGTATTATTAATTTGTATCTAGTATTCATCTTTAATGATCCATAAATGAGAATTTAATTGATTAATAACATTATTTTGTGATGTATTATTTTGTATGGTAATACATGATTTCCAGAAGTGCTACTAAATTGAGAACGAAACATGTACCTCACACCATCAACGAGGAAGACACGTGGGGATTGCATCCTAAGAAGCCGCTGGTCACCACTCAATTCGTAGCGTGGTCATGTAAAAAGTTCGCACAACCGATGATGAAGAAGGTGATCGTAGACAAGGATTCTAAGGAATTCCTAGAAAGGGAATGGCGCTTCATGAGGTGCTTATAGTATATTATAATTATCGATTTTGGTAAATAATGTTTCACTTTTGTTTTAAGAAATACTGTGATAAGAAATGAAGGCCGGGCTGAGGAAATTAGAGCACAGAGGTGTCGCCTCGAATCGCAGGTCTTCAATTCGCGGATACAAAATGTTCCGAGTATTGTACAGTTCCATCCCTATGATCAGCAAATCGCAGTCGCAGCTAAAGATTCATTCGGGTAGGTTTAAGATAAATCGCTTTTGAAATTTCATTAATTTTTATTAATAATTAGTATATGGGATTGGGGAACTGGAGCTAAATTCGCTCAAGCTTCATGTAAACCAGGGAAGAGCGTTTCCTGGAAAATCACCGCGCTTGAATGGATCAACTCCTATGATATTGGTATGGTTATGGTAGGCTCGGATGACGGATCAGCGAAACTGTGGAGAGTCGGGCAGTTCCAGGAACCAAACCTGGTCACGGCCTGGCAGGCTCACAACGGACTCTTCATTTCAAACAGACTGAGTAATAGCGGTACGTATACTTCAGGGATGGCAAATTGGGTGCATTCCTGTTTATTTAGGATTATGAGTTTACAGTGATTTTAATTGATTTATTATAGTTTCTAGTGGATTGCTTTTGTCTTGGGAGCAATACACGCGCACTGTGATATCGGCAGGAGATACGCGCGTATTACGATTGTGGGACGTGAACAAGGAATTGATGTCCTTCGACATACCGACCGGAGCGGATTGCTCGGTGACCTGTCTGGATTCCACCTATTCGAGTGTATCGCACGAGAGGCAAGCCTACGTGCCCAAGTGTACCGTCGAGTGCGATGACGGCCTCTTCATGGGTTGTGCAGCGGAGAGTTTCGAGGAGGGACCTGATGACGGGAAAGCGGGGCTTATTGTAGCCGGATGTGCGGACGGTAGCGTGCGCGTTTACGACAGGCGCTGTCCGCCGAACGAGGCTCGGATCAAATCATGGATGGAACACGCGTCTAATGTTATTAGCGTACAATTACGAGGCGAGAAAATAATTAGCGGAAGGTAATTATTATTGATTTCTTCAGTTTGTTACGATGTGGTTTAACTTATTCATATTTATTTTACAGTGCGAGTGGCGACGTTAAAATCTATGATATCAGGAAAAGTGATTCGTTGCTTTCCACACAGGTCGTTGCCAGTCAAACCATGACCGGTTTAGCAATCCACCGTAATTCCAACATTTATGCTTGGTAAGTACTTGGTCATACTTTACCCTAATTATATAATTCCTAATATAAGAACATCCTTGGTATGTACGATGAGAAATTATATAGATATATAGGATTGCTTCATATTCTTAACTATGATTGTATTGTTTCAGTTCATCGAATCAAATTGTGGCTGTTCATAATTTATCCGGTCTTTGTATGAACGTTATTCGGTTCTACGAAGGCTTCATGACCTACCGGATCGGACCCGTCAGCTGCTTAGGTTTCCATCCGTACAAGATGGCTTTGGCGACAGGAACTATGGACGGATCATTGAGCGTATATTGTTTGGACAATCGTAGATGACACGCGTCTTTCTCTATTGGGGATATGGTTTGGATCGTGAAGACCGTACCCAACTTAGTTAAAGAGAATTGATACATAGCACCGATAAAAAAAAATTATTGATTATATACAGATTTACTGGCTGCCTCTGTTCGGAATCGTCAACTGCATTAATTCGTCCTTTCGCGAGAAGGACAAGGAGAAGAGTGTTCACTTTCAAAATTTCGAGCGTAAATTCACACGGCTTTAGCGAACAAATTTTATTTACAATTATTTTGGTATGTTTGATAATATTTAACGCGCTTCGACGGATTCCGCAGATGGAGCGGCTCGCAAACGTTACATAAAATACAGCACTGTATATAGTTTTTTTTTATTCCTTAGATGAACCGGGAACAGACTCAAAATAAGAATTACATATATATGTAGCACATATATACACAGATTTTATTTACGTAACAGATCTATTTTTTATCAAGATGTAATTTTTAAAGTGTTTTTAATTCCCTAACGCGCATTTCCAATTTTCGACCGAAAACTTGTTTTTTCTTTCTTCTCTCTCTCTTCTTTGTTTTGAGTCTGTCTGAATGTGCATATACTTATACATAATATTTCTGATTTTTGTTTCCGATAGGTTTTAACTTTAGTTTTTAGGCGCTGTACAAATAAGACTATGAAACGTGCATTTTGTTTATCTAATTAAAACGTTTTGTTTTCGAGCTTATTTCGTTTCTTTCAAACTCGTTACTTTTCTCTTCTTTGTAATTTTATTTCTTTGCAATTTCAATTTTTTATTTGGAAATTGTACGTTATTTTCTATCAAGTGTGCAATTTTATTCGAGTTCCGAAGAGGGCGAATCAATCGATCTAATAATGACTATGGTGGACCATCCGGTTGACTTTTTTTTCTTCCCAAATGCATAATCCACGTTATTGATTGCCTGTGGTTAACATTTGGAATTAGTTACATAAATCGAGTTTTACTTACATTAATGTTTACATTATTTTTTTTAAAAACCTAATTGCAATTTGTTATTATGTGTATATATAAATATTTTTTAATTTACGAATTATTGTACTTTCCCTTCTTTATTTTTTTTTATTCATTAAGATTTCGTCGCCTGTTCTTTCTCTGATTTTGTACAAATTTTTGTAAATTCTTTTACGAAAAAGCAAACAAAAAAAATTAAGCAAGAATAACATTATTCAATAAATTACAGCTTCTTGTGATTTCTTTATTTTTTTTGCGTTTTGATTATTTTGGAAACAAGTTTAATTCAATGAAATGATGGATGAGCGCGCACAGTTTTTCGAAGTAGGTGTCTTCGAGTTTCGATGTAAAGTTTAAAGAGCGAAAAATGTTTTCACCTTTGTCTAAGACTTTTGCGAAACTTGGGAATTCTTCTGGTAAACTGCAAAGTCCGTGCAGAACGACTACGGACATGCCGAAACCGTAACAAGCGAATTTCTTCCATTCGCACATCAACGATTCAAATGTGAATATTTCTGTATCGGCACCTAACAAATTCATCTCCTCCAACAGATAATCGTGGTACAGCTTCAAGTAATACCAAACCAACTCGTAATCATCCTTTTCGCAACATGTGTAGAAGAAGTAACTCAAATCTTGGACAACTGAACCAATCCTGGCCTGTTGAAAATCAATGAAACGGATCGTAGATTGATCCTAAACAAAAACATAAAAATAGATTTCATAATAACATAATTGAAATTATTACATTAATCATGATGTTGTTCTTCCAAGAATCTCCATGAATTACAACAGAGTATTTCGAATGTTTATAAGCGTCGTGGTTGTTCATCACATTAACAACGTGATGCTTAATGAAATCCTGAAATTCTCACGACTTCTGAACGAACGGTAAAACCTTTTCGCACTGCTCCAAAATGCATCCCGTTAATTCACTTTCTTCATTAAACCCTTCCAAATCCTTGTACACGTTCGAGCAAATCTCCTCCCAAACATCCTTATCCTTCTGCTTAACCACCAATGATCGAGCATGAAACTTCGCGAATTCTTTAAAAACAGCTGAAACGTATTTGGAGTCTCGCTTCATGAGGCCGTATCCACTCGCAGACAAATCTTCCATAAGCAGAATTTCGTTATCCTTGTCGACTTTATAGATTTTCGGACAACTTTTGATACCCAATCGAGGTACGATCTTCTCGTAAAAGTACATCTCGTTTAAATATAGTTGGCGCACCTTCAACTGTTGACGGAAAGCGGGATGCGTTGGAGATGATTTCAAGATCAAATTCAAAGAACCCACTTGCGTTCGGATCATATTCGATATAAACCCATTGCAGTGATCTTCGTACCTTAAATTTGGAAGCTTTTCATCAGGAAAGCAACTTTTCAATAGCGACAGACAACTCTGCAGATTGCTCATTTCGTTTCTTCGTGGTAACTTGCTTTAAATAGAAGTAAGAGTGTTATTTCGAGACTGCCGTTCTTATCTGTATAACAACATATTTTGTTCGTTTATCTAATCTATATAATTAAGTTTACTATTTTTATAAAAATGCGCTAGAAACTGTTTTAAAATTTAAGAAATTACTATAAAACGATTATTTGTTTTTTTTCTCATTTGATTCTGCACTTTTTTTAACTCTTCCAAAGAGTGTAGATACAACAATTAGATTGTTTATTAGTAAATGCTTAATGAGGTATCCTTGATCGCAAAACTTCGGTTGTCAAAGGGTGACAAGTCGTTCGCGTTTCGAGATTTACAAAAAAAGAAAACAATTTAAAGAACTATGCGGAATGATGATTTTGCAGATCGTAGGAAGAGGAAATCTTCGTCGGTGACGTTCAAAAATGTAAGCACCTAACGTAAGCTCCGATAATATTAACGTTATTTCTTCTGCAGACAGATGAGATTCGTTATACTAGCTCCTCGGACATTTCCATATTTCCACCATCCTCTACATCACTGGACGATGAATTCACCACTATCGAGGATACGACGAAAACCTTTAAACAGTTCCAATATAAAGCGGGAATGTTGAACCTGATTTCGAAAAAATATGAGGTTCGCTCAGAAAAACACAAATTATTAATAATTTAAAACTCTATTTTTCATCAGAGTTTGGATTACGATAAAATGGAAAACGATGTGCTCGTAAATGCTGAGGAACGTGAAGGATACAAGTACTTTGTTCATAAGAACATCATGCAATGGGTTGTTTTCCTTTTAACTGGAATTTTGACCGCTGCCATCGCCTCCACCGTCGACATAGCCATCGTGGAAGTCTGCAAAGTTAAATACTACTTGCTAGATCCTTGTATCCTTTTTAGAATAATTTCATCAAATCTTACTATAAATTGCAATAATAATAATCCTTAAATGTGATAGATCTAAACGATAATGATATCGGGTTCAATAAGCCGCTGTTTCTTTGGATGTTCTTGAACGTGATTCCAATCTTAATCGGATCACTCATGGTCACTTACTTCGAAGTATTCATATCGTATTTAGTAGATTGGGCGTTTAATTGCAAATATTCTAGCCCATAGCCAGTGGTAGTGGAATTCCTTTGGTGAAATGTTACCTCAATGGAATAGATCTGCCGAGGATATTGGCTTTAAAGACGTTGTTTGTAAAAGCGACCGGATTGGTCTGTTCGATAGCCGGAGGAGTTGCTAGTGGAAAGGTGCAATTTTCTAGTGGAAATCTTAAATTTTTCTAATTATTATTATTAGGAAGGTCCTATGATTCACGTAGGTGCATGCGTCGCGAATTTAGTGAGCAAAGGTAGAATGAAGTTTTGCAACAGAGAAATACACATGTTCAGGTATTTTCGCGACGATCAAGAGCGAAGGGATTTTGTGTCGGCTGGAGCTGCTTCCGGTGTATCAGCAGCTTTCGGCGCTTCAGTTGGTAAACTTTCAACAATCTCTTTGTTTCTGTTTCCTTTGTAATGCGTTCTTTAGGAGGTGTTTTGTTCAGCTTGGAGGAAGGCGCCAGCTTCTGGAATCAGAACTTGACTTGGCGCATATTCTTCGGATCTGTGGTGAGCACCTTCACTGTAAATTTGATTTTATCAGCTTATTACGGCGCCGCTGGTGATCTTACTCATCCCAGTCTCATAAACATGGGTAAATTCACCTTCACCTATCAAATAAGCGAGATTCCGATTTTCGCTTTAATCGGATCTATAGGTGGAGTCTTCGGTGCTCTCTGGAACCACAGTAACTATAAACTTTCTGTGTTCAGATTCAAGTAAGTTTTCTACATTCCATTGTAATCGAAGTGAAATTAAACAATTCTATTTCTAGATTCTTCAAGAAGAAATGGATGAAAGTGACCGAAGCCTGTTTCGTCTCTGCACTGACAGCAGCAATTTCCTTTACCATGGCTTACTTTACCAAACAATGTAGACCTATCACTGAAGGTCATACCATATACACACCTAGGGTAATTCTTATAGATTAAATTGATGAAGAGATGAATGTAATTGAAATTTATAGGCGTTTTGCGAGGACGCAAATGAATATAATTTGATTGCCAGGATGTGGTTGCAAACACCGCAGGCTTCCGTTCAAAGACTCCTCCACGATCCAGCCGACGAATATCCGCTTATCGATTTAGCTATTTTCACTCTCGCTTATTTCTTCTTATCCTGCATCACTTTCGGTTTATCAACATCCAACGGGATCTTCGTACCGTCTTTACTAACTGGAGCCGCTTGGGGTCGAATGATCTCCACCATCTTCATCATGATCTTTCCTGATTATAAGGTAAATAAAATCCATTTTTATTGATTGTTATTTAAACTAATATTTAAATGAACATTTCAGAATAGAGTCGACACAGGAAAATACGCTTTAATTGGAGCGGCTGCTCATTTAGGTGGTTTAGTTCGCATGACTATAAGCTTAACAGTCATCATCATGGAAACCAGCGATAACATATCCTTCAGTTTACCAATAATCATAACGTTGATAAGCGCTAAATGGACAGGAGATTTCTTCAACGAGGTTTATTTTATTGTTTAGATACTCATGAACTTTGTCATTATCTTTGTCTTCAAGGGAATTTACGCTATTCAAATTCGCCTGAAGAAAGCGCCTTTCCTACCATTCGATCCACCTCCAATGACGCACAATATCTACGCCACCGAAGTGATGAATAACAACGTAGTTGGTTTCAGGAGCGTCGAAACTGTGGATTTTCTTTACGAGACGCTAGAGAAGACCGAGCACAACGGATTCCCAGTACTCGAGTTGGAAAATCCTGTTGGTTAACCTTTTTTTTTTAATTACCAATCTATAACGATTACACTGTATACAGGAAGATGATTTGAAGTATGGTAAGATAGTAGGTTTGATACTTCGAGATCAAATACTTCTGATCCTCAAGAAGAAGTGGTTTAGCCACAACATGCACTTGTGGGCCGGCACAGTTACAATGAACATTTTCCGAGACGAATATCTACATAAATATAGAATTGAAGTACATTTTTATTAGATGATCCAAACGTTTTCTTTTCTAATTATTATGTTAATTTAAGGATATTGAATTAACGTTTGAAGAGAAGGCTGAGTATTCTGTGGATTTTAGACCGTTCCTCAATCATTCGCCTTATACACTTTTGAGCGTAAGTGAAAACCACACCAATAATTATTGTTGATCGTTTGTTATTTTTTTTAGACTGCTTCGTTGCCGAAGATGTTCCGACTTTTCCGGGCTTTAGGTTTGAGGCATTTACCAATCGTCAACGATTCCAATGAAGTGGTCGGAATGGTCACGCGCAAGGATCTCGCCAAGTTTAGAGTGTACATCAAAAAGGGCAGGATGAAGCTGCATCAATACATAATCACAGAAGATTAGACTGTACTTTAAGTTCTTTAATATAGTGTGTACAATTTCATGATTTGGCTTATTCATTCGGAAATCGATTCTCAGATTATACGCCTTTGCAACACGACAGAAATATTTCAGTTTCAAGACATGTCGGTCTACATAATCTTAACGTTTATCTTGGTGATTCCACAACTGTCTAAAGCGCAAAATACTCATAGATTTCTAGAGGATTTCTTGCAGAATCGTAACGAATACATAAATGTATTTGATTGTCACAAAAAAGGTAATTTCTATTTAAGATTAGAAATGAAGACAAATAATTGAAGTATAATTAAGTTAAATTGTCTATTGTCTCATGTTTGTTTACTAGATTTGGGTGAGAAACGGTTTTTAATTTCTTCTTTAGCAAAATACAAAATGATTGGTTATTACGACAAATTAAACAATATCACTTTTAATGAAAAAGATTTAATCGTGATCATCTTTAAAGACAACGAAAAGTGCAACAAATTACTAGATGAAGTGAGTCAATTATGAGTTAAGTATTGTTGTTGTAATCCTTGTCAATTTTAGTTGAATTCTCAAAATTTATTGAATTATCCTCACAAAATCTTAATAATAACTGAAGATAAAAATAAGTTGAGTAAGCGATTATTAAATTGCTCAATATATCCAAGCAGCGAAATCGTCGTTGCTGAAGAGTTCAAAGATGGAAACATCAATTTATTGAAAGTTTATAAAACTAACCCTAATGCTTCACTCGGTATATTTATTTAAGATTTAATAATTATATCCTACTATTAAATTGTATATTTGCAGATTGGGAAAATTATGGATTTTGGAGCCAAAATTTTGGTTTAAATTTATCGATTTTGAAAGACTCGACGACTCATCAAAGAAGATGCAATTTCCGTGGCGCCAAATTCAAAATCGCTTTGATTATTGAAGATGAAAGGAGTTTTCAGCATTTCGATGATTTCAAGTTTCATATTCCATTTACCATTGATTTGCAATAGATTAAATCATGTTTTTGTTCTGTAGATTTCCTTGGGTCGATGTTCACACTAAAGAAAACATTGGATCCATCAGCAGAGCTTTAGAGTATTGTAAAATCAGTCCGGAATTTGTTCGTGTGAATAGTTACGAACATTTGTACCAAGAAAATGATGATTTTCTCTTCACAGCCACAGCTCCTTACATGACCAAAGATCTGTTGAAGAAAATAAGTTTTGTGCGCATCCAGGGTTCACCTAAAGTCTGTTACCTGATCAAACGACCACCGAAGTCTTACGTAATTACGATATTCACGAACGCGTTTGATTCTTCTGTATGGTTAGCCATAATCATATGTTTAATTCTCTTGGCTATTTGCCTTTACGGAATACTCAATATTGAAGGAAAACGTGAAGCTGTTTGTATTAATTATAGAAATATTTAGATACTTTTTAAATTTATAATTTTAGATCAAATTTCGTGATTCTTTTAACGCTTTTGATATGGCTCTAATAGCTTTGGAAGCCGTTTGTCAGCAAGGTAAATCTGGTTCAAATGAAGAGCGAATGCTTTAAATCTAGTTCATCTTTAGGAGCTTCAATTGATCCGCGCAGTTATTCAGCTCGTATCCTAGAAGTGCTTATGTTCACAGCCTTCATGTTTCTTTACGTCTCGTACTCAGCCAACATCTTGGTCCTTCTACAATCGACAACAACAATTCATTCAATCGATGAGATGCGTGAGCTTAAGTTCAAGATTGGAGGCATGAACACGTCTTCAATGAAGCATTACCACTCGGTAATTAACGAGTCATTTATTTACTTGTTAAATCTACGTGCTAAATTTAAGGGCATCGGCGAGGATTTGTACCAGAGAAGTATAAACTCAAGCGGAGCTTACTCGATACAGGAGGGAATGGAAAGGGTCAGAGAAGGGCTTTTCGCTTTCTACTTGGAGTCTCATTACTCGTACACTTACATCAAAGAGTCGTACACGGATTATGAGACATGCGGATTGCAACAAGTAGGTGAGAGCTTCGAGACTCGGCTCGGATTCGCCGGGTTTAACAAGCGTTCTCCCTACGCAGAACTCTTCAAAGTTATGTAAGTGAATTGCATGGGTAAAATCTACATTCGTATAAAGATATTAACTTTAACGTAGTTATGTTCTTTTCAGTTTCTTGAAGATGGAGGAACTAGGATTTCAAAGTAGACATTTCAAACGGTATTTCAGGAAACCTGTTTGCTACAGTCCTGGTAGCAGTTTCGACACTGTCGGGATACCAGAGACTTACCAAGCTATACTCGTGGTAACTCTTGGTGTTGTTTTGGCTATTTTGTTATTGTTGGCGGAAATTTTAGCTGCAAAATGTGCGGAGAGGAAGAATCAGAAAAAGAAACTAAATGTTGTTTTCGATTTTAACGATTCTTAATTAGAAGTCTAGACTCAAACTAATTGATGAAAATACATGGAATTTTATACTATAACTAGAAGCTTAAGAATATTGAAAAATCAATAAGAATTTTCATGATTTATTCACAAATCACTAAAGGAAACAAACTAAAATCTACACACAAGAATTGAAATAAAGGAAAATCAATAATAAACTTTTGTTTTTATTAAATTATATTTATTATTATTTTTGTTTCTCAATATATATAATCAATAATACAATTCTTTCATATTTTTCGCCTTTAGTTTTCTTCTCTTAACACACCTTTCCTTTCCTATATTTAGTTTTGTTATCCGATAAAATAAATGAAAATAAAATTGTTATTTACAAAATGAAAAAATTCAAATTTTATATAATAAACTCAATACGTAACAAAGACAAAATAAATGATTCAACAATTTCTTGTACAATATATAATGAATACTTGGAGTATTAATGATTTACATACGAATAAAGTCTTATAACACTTACATATAACAATCCATTTCGGTTTAATTAATTATTTAATTTATTTACTTTTTTTTTAATTTAATTTTTTTATTTGATTCTTATATTTTTTTTTAAAAACGTTCAGGCTTCGAACAACGACTCTTAATTCATTAAGATCGAACTGAAAATATAGTCTATCTGTTGATATAATAAATGTACACTAAACATAATTTGTAAACGTAAAATTCGACTAAGATACATTTTGATTTGTTTGAAACGTAACGAAACGTACAGAAACATACAGTTTATCATACATTTTTAATATAATTGTAACAAACGATATATATTGGCTCGGTGTTAAATATCTTGGATTTTTTCTTATATAACGAAACGTAATGCTTATTTTAACAATGTGTTAATGGGAATGGAAAGAAGAACTAAGAATGAATGAAAGAAAAAAAAACGAGTATTGATGGTAAATTATGTTGGAACGTGTTAAATCTACTTCGACGATGCACGACATTTACTCAGTCGCTGGAACGCGCTTTGACTTTATTGCCTAATAAAAATCCGATGCAAACGCCTTTATTCATGACGTAAAATTTGCGATTCCATTCGGTCGCGGTCCTTCTCCTCTTCGATTTTTCAAAATCGTCTCCCGAATTGCTTCTGCTTTTATGAAGCTCGAGACAAAATGTTGCAACGGTCTTTTGCAACCAATGCCATCGAAATACGGTCTCGTAAAAAAATGAGTTCGCGTTATGAAACGTTTTCCTATTTCTGCATGTTTGCTTTGCATCACCATAAACTATACTTCTGCAAGGATTTATTCAGGCACAAATTTGCTTTTAATATAAAGAAAATCTTTATATACATTTTTTTGAAACTATGTTTCAATAATGTTAGTTTAATACAATTTGATTCAATCCAATTACAAGACTGTCTTTATGAAATTACTATATAACATTTAACATTTAAAAAAAGTGTGTTGAAACCATAGAAAAAGTTGACCATAGATTATGTTGAGAAAGAATCCAGGAAGAATTATACTTAAGTAAATAATTGAAACTTTACTTATTTTATGTAATTATATAATTGTTGTAATAAGTAAGGCAGTAACTATTTAAAAAAATAGAAGAAATATCATGATCAATCCTTTGATTTCGTAATGATAAATATTTTGATTATTTTGTTCTTATTAATATGAAATAATGAATATGTAAATGTCGTTCATCGTGTGTTGTTTATTAATTTTGATTATAAAATTGACGATTTCTCCTGTCTCCCATTTTCATCCGTTTCAATTTAGTTACGTTAGATATGTTTATTTATTTATTTTTCATTAGAATAATAATTTTAAATTTAATTAATTTTCTCTTGTTTTTCCATTAACTCGAACTTAAAAATATAATATATATAATATATTTCTTTTATTTTTTAAGTGAAAGCGTTGTCTATTTATATATATGTGTGTGTATATATATATAAATGAGTGTGGGTGTGTATGTGGGTGGTGTTGGAGGGTAAGAGTTTAAATTTTTATTTCATCCTGGGAATCACTTCAACAATTAGATATAACAACTTGGGGTCTTTGAGGGTGGGTGTCGTGCGAGGGCGTTGCGCTTTCTGCATCACCCTTTGACGAAGAAGGGCTTCGTCGGGGTACGTTTGTAGTTCGCAAGTGTTTGTTTTTTTGGCATGGGGACACTGTTTCAAACGGGTGTAGTCCTGCGCAGCGTATCGGAACGGCCGTTTTTCGAGTTGATGGACACACAACTGGGCACGCGCAAGGGAAGCGGTTGGTCCAGGTCGAACGTGACGAACTCGTGCTCGTTCTGTATGCTGGGGGAGTAGTCATCCGGGACTATGAAGTCGTCTATGATGTCGGCCGTCGTCGAGACGGTGTTCGTCGTGATGTCCCTGGGAAACAGCCTCATGTTTGACTCCCTGTAGCTTATCGTCGGCGGCGGTGGGAAGTCGTAGAAGGTGGCCACGTCCTTGACGGAATGGTGGATGCCGCAAGGCGACTCGTGGTTCTCCTTGCTGAAGAAGTATCGGCGCTGGTGGACGGGCGACGGGTAGTTTGCCGGGACGTGGATGCTGTTCGTGTTGATGTAGGCCTGCGGATGGCGTCGACATGGGTAGTAGCTGTTGTGGTCCAAAGGCATATAGTTGATCATCGTCTGTCTGAGTTTGCCGCCCGCTCCGCCGCCTCCACCGCCATGCTTCAGGTCCTCCAGGTGTTCGCACCTGAACTCGTACTGGAGTTTGTTGATCACCAGGTGCAGCGAGCAGACGCCCGTTAACTGCGTGCAGATGAATCCGAACACGTAGAGGAAGAACGAGAAGCCGTAGCTGTACGTGAAGGCGGGAGGCTGCAGCTGCGACCTCGGCCTCAGCTTACCACCGATCTCTGATTTGAATATCGAGATGTACACTATCAGACCGAAGAGCATCACCAAACCTACAACAAGAAATCCTGAATTACCAACAATCATACATTACAACTTAATTCTTCATATTCTAACACTTTTGTTAAACAACAGAAATTAAAGTAATCTCAATCTTTTAACAGATTAATATAAAAACTTGTAATCTTTATTTTATGTTATATGTTTCTATTATATTTTATACATTTTCATGAAATTTAAAGACAAAATTATGACCTTTCTAATGAGCCTACTACCAAACTTGTATTATTTGTCGTTTTCTTGTAATGTCAATAAAATGTACAATTAAATTTGATTTTGCAAATGTAGCGTCTTCAGATTTTATGTAATTACTCTTTAGCGAAGCATACTATTTACATTGATAAAAGTACAAATTCAATACAAAACTATGACCTTTATAATGAGCCTACTATCTTATTTGTATTATTTGTCGTTTTCTTGTGAGAAGCTATAGAAAGTTGAGCAATGAAATCAAAATAGAATATTTTTCTTTCACATTTTCTTTAATTATTTGCTAACGATTACGTAAATATATCACTAATTTCGTAGACACTCCTCACACTATCATTCTATGACATGACTGCAATAAATAATCACGCGTAATAAATGGAACGCAAAACACTGACTAATTGTTAGAACCTACATCTTCGTACCGCTCGAATGCTGACACAAATCGATCTCAGCTTCCCATTGCAAACGTTCATAGCACAATATGCTTCTCATTATCTTCATTTCCGACTTCACTAAATCATATTTACTCCAACAGTTTCTGTTGCTGTGCCAGGAATTGCACATCCTTCGAGGCATTTCCATAATACTGAACTACATACCATAAATATCATATTTTCCATTAAAATTTTGTATATTTACTAAATTTCTAATAAATTGTTTACTAACATTATTTTTTATTTATTAATACTACAAATTACTACAAAAAATTTCATATAAATTGAAATAATAGTTAATAATTATATTTCAATTCTACGTATTTCTTTAAGAAGTTTTACATTTACCGCAATCGTTACTCTAAACTTGTTTTATGCTTAATAATCCTCTGTGACCGTTAGACAATCTATTTCAAAGGATTCCGCCTCACAATTTATATTTAAATCCTCGAAGATTAAGCAAAGCTGAAGATCTTTTCTTAATTGTCTTCGGTTTACAATGAAAGTATCTCAATTTTTATTTCATCTCAAGGTAACAAAAGGCGGCTTTACTTATTTTGCAAACACATTGATGGAAAGTCTGCATTGGAAGATCGTCGGCGGTAAAATTGGTTTCAAATTAGTAACAAGATGTTTCACTTATAAAACGAAATGGAAAGATGCAACCTGCGGGCGGTTTTACAACGAGCAGGTGATTTCCACTTATGAAACAGGTCGAACTTACCACAACATTATATTTAATTATTTTTTTATTATTATAATAAAAGTTGAAACAAAGATAAAAAAAAACATAATGTAACATAAATCTGTTTTTGTTTGTTATTATTACTGTTTTGTGTCTTTAATAATTTATCTTTCCAATAAATTTCATAATACGAATTGCTTTGATTCACTAATTGTATAACACTGTGAATAGTAAATTTGGTAAGATGTAACAGCTTCTTTTTCGGTGGACAAGTGGACAAACTCGGTGGCAATCGCAAGCCCGACAACCGAAATCCCGGCTTGCTCAAAATCCCGACGTTCGATATACCGACTATATCTAAATCCCGACAATCAAAATCCTGATTATATTGAAATCCCGACAGTGTCTTTTATTATTATAAATTTCTACAATAACATTTTTATGGTAGTCGGGATTTTAATTGTCGGAATTATGGTAGTCGGGATTTTAATACAGCCGGGATTTTGAATAAACGGTCTTTCGGTTATCGGGCTTGCGATATAGACCCGGACAAACTATGTCCGAATTTATGTCTCATAGTAGGAAGAATATGGAAGCACTATAATATTGTATTGTAGTAATAAAATCCATAGCTAAAATGAATTATTCGTCTATTTCAATTAAGAAGTAATATATTTGGAATAATAAACAGTTTGAAGATGCATTTCACCATTTCTTTTGGTATAATCCGATGCAAATAAACAAAAAGAGCGTAGAAGAGGATTCGTTCCAATTTGCATTACATTTCTTGTAATAAATTCTGAAGACTTGGAGGATTTCCAGTCGGGATTACAATGCGTTGAATCAAATGGAAATGATCGTAATGAATCCATGCTGTAGTGCATTATTGTGCGGCTCGAAATAAAAACCATTATTTATCCTGATATTTACAAAGAAAAAGGAAAAACAAACAAGTTTTTATCGTCGATTTACCTGTGACAATGAACGAGACGCTCGAGATGAAGATACACAGCCCCCTTTGTTTCAGACAATGTCCCGCTATGCAGCAACAATAGGCTGCGAATAGGAGGCAGGTTGCACTCGCGAAGAAGAGTATGGATCGAGTCACAGCATCTGGAACAGCAAAAGACATTTGTTTTAGGTCGGGCGAAACGGGATTTAAAGAGGAAGCAAATATCTAGGGATTAAAACGTTTTTCGGATCGGAATTGGGGGTGGATTGTTGTCGGATAACTCACAGGGTATGGCCATGGTCGAGTCGTTCGGATCGGGGCTGTACTCCTCGTTGGTGAAATAATCAATCCTAATGCATTCGTAGAGCGTTTCTCCAGCTGAAACAACAAAAATTAATTAGTGCCTTCGATAATCCAATCAACTCGGTTCGCTTTGAGCAGTTCATTCATTGCGTAATTAAAATAACGGAACGACAGAAAAATACAGTTTCATTGAATTTCCGTAGACGAATTGATATTTCAACATGGTAAAAAGGATGAAAAATATGTTTGTTTTTGATGAAAACTTTACAAATTTAATCATTATTTACAACCTTGATCAGTCATGAAATTAATTACCTAATTACTCTGAATGGGATTAACATCATTTTGTAAAAAAATCTTGGGATTTCTTCCAAAATTTCAATTAAGACTTATTGTTGTAATATCTTCTATAATTTGAAAAAAAAAATACTTCATCTGGGTAAAAATGAAAAATATGTTAGTGTTTGGTACTTAAGTACTCTTAAGCTTTGATTTAAGTTGTTTTCGTGTTGCAATTAGATTTTCAACAACAATTTTGAAAACATATTTACTTTTATAATTAAGTATATTTTGTATATAAGTTCAATATAGAAAACATAACATGTAAGTTCTCGGTGGCATTCGCAAGCCCGACAACCGAAATCCCGACACTGTCTTTTATTATTATAAATTTCTACAATAACATTTTTATGATAGTCGGGATTTTGATTGTCGAGATTTTGGTAGTCGGGATTGCGATATAGTCGGGATTTCGATATAGTCGGGTTATGGTAGTCGGGATTTGGACATAGTCGGGATTTCAAGCGTCGGGACTTTAATACAGTCGGGATTTTGATACAGTCGGGATTTCGGTTGTCGGGATTTTAATATACGGTCTTTCGGTTGTCGGGCTTGCGATATAGACCCGTAAATTATCTATTCCAATTGAAATATGTATATTGGGTTGCATGCAACAACGATCAGAAACTGTTAACATCGGGTTTATGGAAATAGGACGTGATTCAAGGATGAGCACGTTGTAGAGAGGAAGAGCAATAATACGAGATTGCATTTGATATTCTAAATGTTAAACAGAATTATATGATAACTTTAATATGAGAATTATGTAATTACCTTTAAACAATTTCGAAATGTGAAATTCTCATAAAACTTAACTTAAACATTAATATAAATTATTATAGAGAAAAAACATTAATGATTAATTGCTTTTTGTTAATTATTGTATTTAATTAATCAATAAAACAATAACATTTTTAATTAGTTTTTAATTAATGACTAATAAGTAAGTTTGATGAGATTTAGAGATGATTCCTAAGGTCATAATTACTAATTGTAAATTTAATTTCAAATATTCCAATATTTATTTGAATAATGTAATTCAAGTTGCCTATATCAAAATACAATTGAAAAATATTATTTGTGCATAGAAATTAATGAATAACTTATTTATTCATAGTTTAGATTGTATTCATATAGTAATAAAATGACTCGTTTAACGAACGACGTTTCGCATAACGAGTGACGATGAGAAGAGAAGTCCCAGATTGCGCGCCTTCAACATCATTTTCCGGAAATTTTGGATCGGATTAAACTCGTTAAGCAAGGTTCCACTGTATATTATAATTCGTTTGAATGGTGTATGTTATGTTGCCTATGTTGAATTTCAGTAATTAAAGATTTATTTCAGGAAATTTCAGAATAATAAATTATACATGTCAACAATAATTCACACCGAATAAATAAATGTAAAATACAAATAATATATTTATAAACATACATTTTCCACGTCGAAATTACATTCGAAAAATAACAAATGCATACTTGATTTTCATAATTTAATCATCAAAAATAATTGAATTAAATAAAAAACTAATTTATAAAAAAGTTTATTTATATTATAAAAGGTCAAAAACCTTATCGTTGCATAAATTGATTCAGTTGGAATTATAATGTTAATACTAGAAACTTTAAGAAATTTCAACACTAAAAAATATATTAAAATTTTAAGAATTTTTTTCGTGTATTTAATAATTTGTCCAAATTAATCAATTAGTTAAATTTTTTAATCATTTCAAAATGATTATTAACAATTTTTTTTAATTAAATGTTATTTATTTCTATCAAATTCGTTATAAAATTATTGCTAATATTGTTAAAGTAATTTTCGAGGTCGCAAATAGTTTTTAACATTGACATTAAGACGAATCTATGACCTTGAAAAGATTTTTGAACTCAAAATATACTCTGATTCTTCGTTGGTTTTAGCATTGTAATATTTAATTTGAAGATACGCTTTATTTTTATTATTGGTATCCGTAGGAATTGATTTCTTTTCATGTACATATTGCTGGTATTTTGTTATTGGATGTGGAGGAAGAAAGTGAGAGGCGGCTCACGTCTAACTTTAATCGCATCACGCGTCTACAAGGAAGAAGCGGCAAGCCCAGGGGCGGTGGCTCCAGAAGGGTTGGCATCGCTTCCAAAACCCCCCCACACACATTCACCATCCCCCTGAGAACCCCGCGGATGTCTTGAATATTAATTGCAGCTTCTTACTGCATGCAGCTGCAACCAGCTGCCCTTCAAACCACCCTTCGCCTCCTCCACTCGACAATCCGACTTATTACATACACTTGCAACAAATAGTGGAACTTATTACAACTTGTAATTCATTTGCACATGACGCTCTCTCCTTCTGCCTGGGAAGAGCAAAAGCAAAGAGCGCTCATTAAATTTGGATATACGCCCCTAAAGCAAGAGTTAATATAGTTGGGAAACGGCTTCAACACGAAACGCGGCTTATTCTACCGGAAGATTTTCTTCGGTTTCTAGGATGGTCCAGGTAACCATCGATCCTAAGCAAACAGATTCCTGGTAATTTACGGCGGAGCGACTCCTCAACACTCAAGAATCGCATGCATAATTCGTCCTAGACGAATACGTTCTTGGTGATCCGCTGGTCCTCTTCACGGCTAGGGGGACCAGGTGGGTCCGACACAAAAGGACTCTCCTTCTTCTCTTTTTTCTTCTCCTTCTTTGTACATCACTTATATATATAATATGGAATATATAGTGCACATATTTTCTCCGCACTACGGTCTCATTGTCCCGAAAGGATCCTGTTTCCTTCTGGTCGACCCATTCTTGCCATCCACATACTCTTCATGTGTATTTACGCATCAGTTTACCTTCGGAGTTCTCTTTCTTGCGTTCCGTTCCGTTTTTTTTTATATATATATATTTTCTTTCATTGCTTTCCTTTTTTTCCCCTCCGCTTTGTTCCTTGCTCGGGATTCAAAGGAATCATGGAGTATAAAAAAATGGTACAAGGATGTCATGCCAGGCACAATAATCATATTCGGTTACTGTTTAATCCCCGATTTGCATATATAAAGTTTGAATGAAACGGGAGAGAGAGGAAAAAGGACATCCTTTGCGTTCCTACACGTCGGAGCATCAAAAGAAATAAATAAGTTATTTCCGATATGCGTTCATAAAAAAATATATATGTATGGTTGATCTATTGAACAGTTTATCAAAGGATTTTTTTTGTTGTTGATTGCAGCCAATTCAAAGGACAATTATTAACATAATCAAAGTTATGATGAAGGGTCGGAGTTAAATTAATTCTTTACGTCAAGAAAATCGTTACGTTTCAAAATATGTATTTAAAAATTAGAAGACTTTTATCTTACATTACGATTTTTTTTTTAATTTCTTTGAAAATCGAAAACAAAAATGTAAAAATGATTCGAAAATGATCAATATTTTGAGAGTTATCTAACATTTTATATATCAATAGTTGAAGAATAAAATGAACTTTAATAAGTAATAAACAAAAATACAAAAAAATTTCAAACGTTTTTTGTTTTTGTTTTGTCTATAAACTTTTTGTTTCTAATAATTAATATGAAGTAGAGGGTTTAAAAGGCTTTAATTTTTTTTTTAAATAATTTTGTTGTGTCTGTTGTAAAAGTTTGAAAGAAATTCTTAAGAAGGTTTAACTATCACAGACATTGAAAGCATTATAGGAGAGGTACAGCAAACACCTTGGACTTTTTGGTGGAAGCGAAAATAAGATGCAGACACCATAAAGTTTTCTTCGCGAAAATTTGCGAATGACGAATTACGTTCAAGATGTCGTCCACATCTCTTTCTCTCGCTCGTCCTGTTTCCTTCCATCTTCTTTCCATCCAGTTAAGAAGAACGACGCGTAGCAGCTGCGACCGTCTTTTTGTCGCGTATGCAAATTACCGCGATGCGGCGGCGGGGCTTCATAAAGGAATTAGGAGGTCCTCTCTTCCTCTCCACTCCTCTCTCTTGCCCGATCCATCCTTTCAACGAAGACTTCCTTCGCGCGTGAATACTACTACACGATTTTAATGACTGGTTATCCTCCCCGTGTATTGAGGAGAACGAGAATCGGACAACACCCATTCCCATTGCCAGGACAATGCCTCAGCAATAACAATAACAACAACGCTTCGAGGAAGAGAGCTTCGGATTCGTGATCCTTTATAAACAAAAAATAAATATCGAATTTAGTGAGAGCGGGTTACGAAGGTTACCATCGTGTGGATGGGTTGGGTCAAAGATTATCCACTTCGGTGGAAAATTGATGGAATAAGTTCCATTAAGTAATAACATATACAATTATGCATATTACGCAACGTAAATCGTTTCTTTAACATATCTAGTAGATAGCAACATGTCTGAAATTATTGTTTTTTTTAAAGAAGTAGTATGTAGAATATACAAATGATTCCAAAGACAATTAGTACATAATGATAACTACAGAGAAGCAGAAAACATTGGTACTTCGTAGCACGAGACAAAGAAACATTAAGTCAAACATAGAAATGATCCACATATCGATATTTCATGAAACTACACAAAGAAGTGGTAAATCGAACATAGAAGTTATCCAAATATTATGAGTCTAAAATCATTGATACTTCATCGTACATTACAAAGAAACTTTAAGTCGAACATAGAAATTATCGACTGATATCATTGGTGGTTTATAACAAAAAAAGTATAAAGAGACCATTGATATATCATGAAATATAAAAGTT